AATTCCTTATGGCCAAAAACAAGGTAACAATCGTGGAGCCAAAGACGAATGATGCAAAAAATGAAAAGTAGGCATTTTTAAATCCTAATAAAGTTCGGGTAATCGTATTGCCTTTCGCTATTATTTTGTATTTTTATTATTGTCTTAGGCTACAACTGATTTAAATAAACATAAAAATAAAAATACGCATCATTTTCCGCATTTAATTTGTTTCGTAATAATAGTTCAACGAAATTTGCTTGTTGTAGCCTAAGACAATAATGAAAACGTAAAGTATTTTTTTTGAATTTATTTATTGAAGACCAGCCAAGCAGAGCACAAACGCTATGTGCTTGTACTAATAACAACAAGTAAAATAACAAATAATAATAATTAATGATAAAAAAATGACAAAAATTAGCAATTTAAAGAGGAAATAAAGAGGAAATTACAAAATAATATAATATAATACAATTCGAAATAAATGTATTATATATTATAATATATATATATATCCTGCATCTAATTCTTTTCGTATTTCATTTGGAAGATCTGAACTAACCTGAAATATTAAAAAAAATTATTAAAATTTTTGTAACGGTATTATTACGACTATTTAAGCCATATGAAAGACGGAAATTTTTGGTATTGGGTTGTAAGAAGAATATTATTTAATCTTTTTTAAAAGATAGCTAAGGATGACGTACAAGCTGTATCGGTTGATAATTTATTCCAATAATTAATAAATAGTACGAATAAAGAAGTCATAAGTCCATAGTTTAGTTTTGCACATAGGCTTTAGTAATTTCCTTTTGATTTTATGGATTGAGCAATTTTAAAAGAATAATCAAACGTAATAAAAAAGCTGTTTTCTATTTTCAAATTTATTTTTTATTTTTTTATTTATTTTGTGGATATTATTTATAATATTATACTATTCGACTTGACTTTCCCTTATTTTTTTTTTATTTTAAATATTTTCGATAATAAATGGCTTCTCGGCTTAGTGCCCCTTTATCAAAAAAAATTGAAATATTTTGAGATATTTTTTTCGATTTTTTTAGTTTATTCACATTGTCCACCGTTTTTCTTTCTAAAAATTCTAATTGCAGAAGAACATTTAAAAAACATTTTCGATCGCTCATTCCTCTTATTTCATTATTTATTCTACTAAATTATATGAAATTAATTTTTGTTTTTAAATATTTATTTCTTTATCTAATATTTATTTATTTATTTAAGTATTTATTTATTTATTTGTTATTTCTAAATAAATGAGCAGCATTTTGATTATGAAAAATGCAGATCATTAAATTAATTTTTAAAGAAAATCATTTTTGCGAAGACCGATTTCAAATTAACGTTTCAATCGTACGTGCTTCGCATTAAATAAATGACAATCGTTAAATTGGCTTTTATATTTTGAGATTTCGATGAAAAGATTTTTTGCAAAGTAAGAAATCGAAGATTAATTTTTGTCTGTATGGTATAAGTATTGAAGTGATTTGAAGGGGTGGCGAGGTAAGGGGTAGGATAACCGAGGGGAAATGCTGAGAGGCACCAGATGAAGTTTAGAGCTCGTGTTTTTTGTCGATAAAATCATAATTTTAAATTTCTTTGTTAACGAATTAGCATAAAATATTTAGCGATCACGGCTTGGAATAGCTTATTGTTTGCACGCTTCGAATATTAAGAAAGGAGTGTGTGGCTCTATCCATTCTCTCCAAAGCACCATTTATAAATCGATCCGTTCATTCAACGAGCCTTCATTTTAGTTGGTTGTTTAATGTAGGAAATGAAGGAGATATCGGATAAAATAGATCGAAAAGCTTGATTGGTGAAATAAATAGAGCCAACGTTTTAATCTTTTTTCGCAACGATTCTTTCCCCTTCGAGGAAAAGAATTTTATTTTTACGATCTTTTTTCTTACAATATTTTCCTCCATAAAGTTATTCATTTTTCGTTTTCATTTTTTTTTTTATAAAGAAATGAGATTTCTCAAGATTTTTTCTTTAAGAAATATTTTTTTAAAGATAAAAAAATCCATCTTTGTACATCAAAATAGCAAAAAATTTTCATGTATAATATTTTTTGCTGATTTTTTTAAATGAAATTTGAATTTCGAAAATTATTTCTATTTTTAAATAAAAATTATTAATGAAAATCATTAAAGAAAATTTTTCGATTTTAAAAAAAATCAAAGCAATAATAAATTAAATTTTCTGCAGTTTGTATTTTTTTATTTTTATTTGTTTTTAAAACGAATATTGGATTTTTAAATTCATTAATAACTCATTTTGTCAATTCATTAATTTTGATTGAGCGAATTAAATATTCCATTGTTAAATTTTTGTTTGTTTTATTCGTCTAATTTCCAAAAAAAATTTTATATTTTATGCTTAGAATATTTCCGAATTAAGTTTCTTGTATCGAAATTGAGATGAAATTAAAATATCATTCATCCTTTTCTGCTGAAAACGTAAAGCAGCTCTCACGTTGACGAGTCAATTCTCCGTCTAACAATTCAGTTGCGCCGCTGCGAGTAAGATTATACGTCTGATTGAAGCACTTAGTATTATTTCTTGGTCTAAGCGGGCACACCGCTGGTCTCCTTTTCATTTCTCCTGTTTCTTCGTGTCAACTCAAATCTTCATTGCAAGGCTTCGCATACAGCGAAATGCGCGTCCAAGTCCCACACTTCTTGTATCGATTGTAACTGGGACATCGTCGTGATTTGCCAGAGTGTCGCCCTATCGATTGAAGTTGATGAAGGACATAACGGTGGTTGTCGATAGGTGAAGCGAGCAATATTCCAATATCCTTCTTCCTTCTCTTAAAAATTCACTGCATTCAAGTACTGGTCTAAATTCAACGTGATTAGTGCACAATTGCGCACTACTATGTGTCTATTCAGTAGTAAAAGCGAAGAACCTTTCAGAAAAATCTTCGATGGTTCTCGTCGATTTCCTTGAAATTCGGTATACTAGGGTTCTCTTATTAATTAAATTAAGGCTACAATAATCTCGATCCACTTGGAACCATTTTTATTTAAAGGATTTTCCGTGTCTTTTTAAATTAAATAACTACGGCGATATTTTTTTATGTTTAATGGCTTGAATTTATAAGTAAATTTATTTATTCATAATTTCTTTATTAGAAGGGGCATTAATTTTGCAACAAGCATTTTTGGTTTCTAATTTTAGACGGAAATGATAGAATTTAAATGCGTGAAATGACGTGAAAGACACGACTCGAGTTGACCGAAGCATATTTCGTTTCTTTATTGCTAACAGCAGCAAATGGCGTTAAGTAATACATTTGTTTATAAATAAAATATAATAGCTAAATAATAACTAAATTAAAAATTAAAAAATAATTATTTCACAAAGACGCTAAATAGTAAATTCGGTATTCCATTAGTTATTTATCGAAAATATTTAATCATTTAAATTGTCTTTGATTTTTTAAAACTTTTTTCATGGCAAGCAGCTCGCATAATTTTTTTTTCTTATCATTTTTACTTATCTCGAAAAATTATTGATAAAGTAGAGCAAATAGATTAAATTTTTTGTCGCATTTTCCTATAATTAAAAATGAAAAAATATTTTTCAAATTTTCCGCTTTTTTCAAATTTTTTAAAATTTTCGTCGTATATTTTTTTGCATCGTATAATTTCCGTTTTCGTTTTCTATTTCCAACGGAGCAGATTTAGCGCTCTGAGGAGAATTTCGCATTCGAGGTTAGCATAATCAATGAGTAGGAGAGATGCGATATTCGTTCCACAAAACTGGGTCGCCTAATGGAATGAAATCCAGGCGAACGCAATAAATGAAATTTTCATGAGATTTATTTATAAAAAAACGTGTCTGTCTGCCTTCTAATTAATTAAATATTCATTAAATGTTTAAAAATATTTGCAGCATTATTTTTTTTAAGAGATGAATTGAATAAAATTGTTTTTTATTTGCAATAGAAAGGCAATAAAATGAATGAATTTTATAAAAAGGGATGAACGTTTTCTTGCAAATAATTTTACATTAATTTGTATTTATGGCAAAAAAATGAATAAATTTAGCATTGAAATTTAATCGAAAGTTAACCCAAAATTTATTTATTTAAATTATTTTTTAATAATTTTTCAAAAAAATTAAAATTTTAAATTTTGAAGAGAGTTATATCGTTTAATAAATCATTAAAAATCGTCATTATTATTATATTTAACATTTTTATTTATGCAAATAATATAAAACTGTAATACGAGAAAATTTTCTTCGTTATTCATTTCAGTGATAAATGAATTTATTATTAAAAATAAAAAAATACGATTGTTTTTTACTTTTATTTCGGAAGAAATCTTGTGAAATTTGTTTTTTTTTTAGATATTTTAGGAAATATTTATTCTCAAATTACGCATTTCCTTAAATATAGCCGTTGAAAAATAAAGAATTAAAGCGGTTTGCGATCACTATTTGCGTTTTCCGCTGGCGCTTTCCAGGAATTCCTGCTAGGGAGAAAGTGTGTCGAGAAACGGACCGGCCGGATCTTTTGATCTTTTAGCGACAGCTTTATTGTCGAGATTCATGTCGAGGCAGCTGAGTCCTCGTCTCGAATCTCAACCGTGGAGCCCACTTGGCCATTGTTGTTTTATTGGAAGAGAGAGAGAGGAATAATTTTTTTACGCTTCAATTTCGTCCTGTCGCTTGCATTTTTTCATTTTATTCATTTTCGTTGTATTATTTTTTAATTCGATAATACGAACAATTTCTTGTAAAATTCTAAACTTTATTAAATATTTAATGGAAATTTCAAGGAAATTAAATTTCTAATTTAATGCCAATTTAAACTTATTTTAAAAGCATAAATCGATTTGGCTCTTCGAATTTCAAAAATGAACAATTCAACTGTTTGGCTAAATTTGGCTCGGCTTAGCTCGGCTTGGCTTGGCTTGTTTACCAAACACGAAAACGATTCATTTTTCACATCGTTGATTTCTATTCAGTTATTTTCGTCTTTGAAAAAAATGAATTCTTCGACACTGTTAGTATCGATGTATTTTATGAGTCACAATTATTTGTTTATATTGTAATTTGATACATTCGTGTTTGAAGAGGAAAAGACTCGCGTGAAGAAATCAGGTTGAAAATTCCGATGGATTATAACGACTCAGACGGCGGAAATCGTGAAACTAGTCCGGTGGTTAATTCCCGAGCAGCTAGAAGGTCAACAATTGGAGAAGGTAATCATCTATTTCCATCGTCATCGAAATTTCAACGCTTAATTTGTCCACTAACAACAGCGATCGCCAAATCTGATTCTCTAAATTAAATCTCCTATTTCCGAAATGTAATCAAGTGATGCTGGCGACTCACCTGTATTTCTATCGCCAAGAAACTCTCTGGCATATTTGTCTAGTGCGACGAGCCAGCGGAGCGAGTTTAACCAGTAATGGTGAAAACTTTTAAAAAAAAAATTTCCGAAATAAATTCGCGTAGATCCCTCAGTTCATTTTTGATTTGGTTTCATGCATTTCAGTCATATTTATATAATTATTTATCGCACTAAAACGTTTTAATTTAATGAGAATTTATTCACCATTTAACTGATAATTTTTTTAGATAACACAACTTTCTTTCTTATCTATTAAAAATTCAGTGATCAGTTTTTCAAGTGCGATGTAAAATATTCCATTATTTAAGATTATTATACATGGGGACAAGCAAGAGAAAGCTTCGCTGCAACTGGCAACAATCTCGCACTTTTTGATGAACCAAGCGCATATTTCATAAGTACACATCTTAAAGGTTTTACGACACCCGGACCGTTAGAAAGAGAGCAGAGCCAAAAAAAGAAGGTTTATTTTTTATTGATGGCGAAACTGCATGTGAAAGCCTATAAAATATCATAAAATGACGCTTGCAGGCTGATTTAGGAGTTATGTTAGGCGTTTATTTGCCAACAATTCAACACATTCTTGGAGTAACGATGTTTATACGTTTATTTTGGGTGGTTGGAATGGCAGGAATTGCACAGACATTTTTTCTTCTCTTTCTTTGTTGCTTTTGTGTAAGGATTTCTGGGATTCTTTTACCATTTTTTGAAGCAAAAGTCCTGTTATTTGCTTGTTCCACATCATTTTTTCAAGGGTCTATTTTTTTAGACATTTCTGACTTGTATAAGTCTATCAGCGGTAGCCACTAATGGAACTGTGGAAAGTGGTGGAGCTTATTTTATGATATCGCGAAATCTTGGTCCGGAGTTCGGTTCTGCTGTTGGAATTCTTTTCTATCTCGCTAATACTGTTGCTGTGTCAATGTATCTTGTTGGTGGCGTTGAAATAATCTTGGTAACGATTTTTCCTTGAAATTCTTTTTTCGATCAGATTTGCTTGTCAGTCGGTCTGAAATGTTTTGTTATAAGGCTGATTAGCTTGGAAAACTATTTCTTTTTTGTGTTTTCCATACTTTTTCCGTATTAATACGTAGCAGTGAATCTCCACATTTGATGAAATATTTTGTTATATTTCATCTTTTCTCTGAAAATCCTCATTTTTTACATAGAATTGCAAAAATGGTAAATTTTCAGTTATATATTTTCCCGGATTTGACCATTGGCGGAAGTTCAGTACACTCTGATACAGGTCTGCCATGAATTTATGAATTTTTCTTTACATGGAATTTACATGGAATTCCATGATATTTTTGTTTTCTGATAATAACTTTCTGATAGAAAGAAGAATTTGAAAATTACTTTTTTCGCGTATGTTATTTAATAATTAAACTGCAAATATTAATGCCAATGTTGGTGCAGGTCCAATGGGAATGATGTCTCACAATCTTCGAATTTATGCAACCGTTCTGCTTCTCATTGAATTCGTTATTGTGGCTATGGGTGTTCGATTTGTCCAACTTTTTGCTCCAGTAATTTTTTTAAAGTTAGTAAAGAAGATGGTGAAATTTTTATTATTATTGTATACGAGGCAGAAAAAATTTTTCGAATTCGAATTAATAAATAATTGCCGAATTCTAATGAGAAGTGAGATATGTAAAATAAAACAGGCTTTCCTTGGAAATAAATTGAATTTTTGGATGAAAAAGCATTAATGGGTCTTTCACAATATTTAAGATATCATTACTGTGCGTAATTGTATCGATTTTGGCAGTTTATGCTGGAGGAATAGAAAAGACAATCAATCCTTCAAGTGGTTCAAGGTGGTTTACCAATTTTTTTTTATCTTCCAGATTAAGCTTTATGAAATCCACTTTTACGGCAGGGAAATCCTTTGTTTTACAATATCTCCAAAATCCAGCAAATCTAATAATGCTTTCAGTTAGATATGGGCATTGCAGAAAATTTGTTTCTAAGTTATAGTTGGACTAAGTTGGAATTAGGTTATTTAATATGATTTGCTGGATTTATTCGAGGAATGCTTTTCTTTCCAGATCGACTGGAAACTGGAAGCTTTTTATAAAAATAGAATATCTTAAATTGGGCAGTACAAATGAATCGCTTGGATTTCACCTGGATTTTTGAAAGATAAATTTACTGTTATCAGAAGTACTTCAGAATCGACATTTCAAGATGAGATTCACTGAGCTATTCTCCTCTTTCCTCTCCCTTCCCTCCCTCTCTTTCGATAACTTTCAATGAAAAAAATCTTTCTAGATTAATTTATCTTTTAGAGTATGTATGCTTGGTAATCATTTATTGCAAGCAAAAGTAGTTCTTCCATCAAACGCTTCGATTTCCGATTTATGTTTTTATTGCAATGCTTCATCGTAAGACGTTTTTTTTATTCCTTGTCTGAATTATTATCATTAAAATAAGGATAACTTTTTTATCGTTTTACAGCTTGAGTAGGTAAAAAATTCGAATTTGTGATATAATTTTTCTTTGATGTCAGTAAGAATGTATTTTATTTTTAGCAGTTTACAAAAGGCTTTTTGTAATGACAACAGTTGTTCCGATTTATTCAAGAACAATCGTCCTCGATGCGTTAACGGTTATCCTGGATTTGGGAGCAGTGCCTTTTTAGGTGCTTTCTTTTCACTTTTAATTTAGTCGATTATTTCATTTAAATCGGGCGCAGTTTATAACTCCGCAAAAATTTATTCTATTGCATGATTATTTTGTCTTTTTTGCAAAAAATAAGTTATTAACGCATTACTGAATAAAACAAATATTTTTTTCGGCATAATTATATAATGAAATTTGGAATTTCTTATACAAATTTCAAATGATGCTGACGACTCACTTATACTTTCGGCAAATGATTCCCTCGAAAAAAATTTTTCATTAGTGGAGTCTATCAGGAATGGTGAGCGCTAACCGCTTTTTTTTGCTTCAGGATTTAGAAAAACGGAATTTTTTAATAAATTTACTTTCAGATAATTTTGGAGCGCATTATATGAAAGAAGGTGAATACTTGTATGGAAGTGAAGCGAATAAGAAAGTGGAAGTATTTCAGGATGTGACGACGACATTTTTTGTTCTGTTAGCAATTTATTTTCCTGCTGTAACTGGGATTCTTACGGGTGCAAATATGAGTGGTTAGTGGTTCTCTCCTCTCATTATGAGTTTTTTTTCAAAGTTTTTTTAAAACTATTCAGCCCAAAAGAATTTATTGGTAAAATTAATACTTATTATTGGTATTTTATAGGAGACTTAAAGAATCCGCAGTCATCTATTCCGTGTGGTACTATAGCTGCTCAACTTACGACGTCATTCGTTTATTTTTCATTGGCTTTCGTATTTGGTGCAACAATCGACGGTTTTTTATTGCGTGACAAGTAATACAATTATCTTGCCGGTACAATACAATAACAAAAACAGTAGAAAAACAATTAATTTAAAATAGAACAATTATTATTTATATAAGCGAAATAAATTAATTTTTCAGATATGGGAAATCATTGGGTGGTGGAATGATTGTAGCGAATTTAGCGTGGCCTAGTCCGTGGGTTTTACTTGTTGGATCATTTACTTCAACATTTGGTGCCGCACTTCAATGTCTTTGCAGTAAGTATTTTGTCATTCAGTTCGTCTCATTATTTTTATTTTTTCAGAAATTAATTCCAGGTTAAATTCGCTTTTATTTTTGGATTTTACAAATTTAATTAGCTAGTTGATTTTATGGATATCCATGAATTTATTCATTGCAAACATATATAACAATAAATAATAATAAAATAATAATAAATTAGGTGCACCTCGACTTCTTCAATCAATTGCTAAGGATGATGTGATTCCAGCGCTGAAAATATTCGCAACAGTTACAAAAAATAATGAACCCTTTACTGGGTACGTATAATATTTATCCAACAAACTTTTTTCGATCATTAAGTAAACGAGGTGATCGTTTAGCTCAATTAAAAATTTCGAAGAGAAATCCGATTAATAATATGGACTGATCTTTGCTGAACTCCCTAACGAATTCATCTTGCTTTAACAGTAATCAGTGAGTCAATTAAAGATGAGTGCTATTAGGGAAAGAAAATTTTCAAAAAGCAATTATAATTTCGAATTAATTATTTTTTCAAGTTTTTTCAAAAATAACAAATCTTTCAAAAAAGTTTTTAAGAGTCCGTTCATGGATCAGTAAAAAAAGTTATTTCCAATCCTATCTTAATAGTATTGAATTTAACACTGAATTTGTCGATCATCGATCTTTCCAAAAAAATTAAATTATCTTTTCAGTTTAATATTAACCACTATGATCGCTGAATTAGCTATTTTAATGGGTGCTATGGATCAAATTGCTGCAGTAGTGGATTTCTTCTTTCTTATGTGTTATGCATTTGTTAATCTTATTTGCGCACTGCATTCAATTTTGGGTGCACCGAATTGGCGACCACGTTTTCGCTATTATCATTGGTATGGTTCAGAGATTTTTCGATTTTTCAATATTTTTAATGTAAGATTCTTTTATTGTAAGATTTTTATCCAGTTTTATCCTTTCTTTACCAATAGATAGAAGTAAATTTTTCAGTGTAGGTAATGCCAAAACAAAATTTTTCCACTTTAAACTGAATCTTAACAATCTTAACAAAATCAAGGTTTTTGACTGATTTTGATTCTATTGCAGGTCATTATCATTACTTGGTGCTGCTCTTTGCTTTTTTATTATGTTTAGTACACACTGGGATTATGCCATTCTATCTTGCTTATTGTGTTGTATTATTTACAAATATGTTGAATGGAAAGGGCAAGTAATTCATATTTATTTTCTACAATGCCATTTTAAAAAGATTTATGAATTTTCAAAACGCTAAATTTAATGGTTTTACGTATTTTAGGATATTTAGAATTCATTTACAATAAAAACATTTTTTATCATTGTTATTTTTTATATTATTATTAAAAAACGAGATGATTGTTATTCGATGCTCAAAAAGCTTATATTTTGCTATGATTTGAAGATAAAAAGATTTTTTATCAAGTATAAGAATTTTAAATTAAAGAAAATTAAGGAAAAAAGAAAATAAAGGAATTTTTTTAGAGCGAAAAAGGAATGGGGCGATGGTTTTCGCGGTCTCGCATTAACTACCGCACAATATTCGCTAATGAAAATTGATGAGAAAGATCCACATCCAAAGAATTTTAGGTATTCTTTTATTGTTTTAATCAACTAATGAGGGATGTGAAAGAAATTATTCTTTAATAACTAGTGAAATATGTGATTAATTCTACTTATACTTACTTGTCGAGAAATGTTATATTTACTATTTTTCACAATAAGTGAAACTCTTAAATTTCGAAATTTCTGATTTCTGAAATTTCATGGAATTTAAATGTTTAATGAAGGAAAAAATAAAATATTTAAGACGAAAAACTGAAGTTTTATAATTCATAATTTATTACAATTACAAAGTGAATAAAAAGGTGAAAATAAAATTTAAGAAAAGCTTTTAATCATTTTTCATTTAATTTTAAATTTCTCAAGTAAAAACTCTGATTTATTTAAATTTAAAAAGCGTTGCAGGCCACAAATATTATTACTTTTATCAATCCCTTGGTCAAAGGATTTGGTTGATGTTCGCTACCAAAGGTTGTTAAATCTATCTTCTCAGTTAAAAGCGAGTCGAGGTTTAACAGTTGTTGTTGCTTTAATTCGTGGTAATCCTTTAAGTGTTTTGGATCAAAAAAATGCTGATGAGGTGAATTTTCGACTATTTTTCCACTTTAAACTGAATCTTAACAAGATAATTCTACACATATTCATTTAATTCCTACTAATTCGTTTTTCCAGATCAAAAAAAGAATTGAGTTCGATATGCATCAGTTGCGCTTAAAGGGTTTTGCTAAATCTATTATATATGGTGAAAGTCAGGTATTTTTCGGGGAATTTTTTAGTTTAAATTTTTAGTTTTGAGAATATATGGAAGATGAGCAGTTTTTCTATTAATTTTTAGATTGGCGGTTGTGTATCAACCATAATTCAAAGTGTTGGCATGGGTGGTCTTCGTCCTAACACGTTATTACTTTCATGGCCCAAAGAAAAATCAGCTTCTGATTCAGTCGATTCAGAATATCAAACTTTCACCGGTTTGTTTAAATTTAAAGTTTATCCTTTCAGAAGTAATTAATATTTTATCATTTATTTATTTAAAATCATTTATTTATCTCGTTGCAGATAAATTACATGCTGGTGTAGCAATGGAGATGTGCTTGCTTGTTGCAAAAGGTATAACAGATTTTCCTATGGCAGGAATGCGTCTAACAGGGACGATGGATGTTTACTGGATAGTCCAGGATGGCGGGCTTTGCGTACTTGTCTCTTATTTATTGGGACAAAGCAAAGTTTGCCTTATAAATTAAAATTAAATTCTAAAATTTTCCAATACTCTTCCATTCACTTGAAAATATATCATAAAATATTCACTATTTTTGAACATAAAATTATTTAATCACAAAGCGACAATCAATTTTTTATTTAGATTAGTCAAAATCAAAAAAAATTTGATAATATCGAAAGTTTTAAGATTTGGCGAGGTTGTAAATTACGTATCATCGCTGTTGCCCAAGAAATGGACAATAATAATAAAATGCAAGCTGATTTACAAAATTATCTTTATCAGCTCCGTGTAGACGCTAGAATCCTTGTAAGTTAATTGAATCTTATTTTCATACAACATTCCTTTGATTGCTTTCATTATTCCATTTCCATTATTTGTATTTCATTAGATTGTTGAGTTGTCTGATCCTAAAATCTCAAAAGATGCATTCGAACGAACTCTTTTAATGGAAGAAAGATCAAAACTTCAAGCAGCAATGCAAGAACAAAAGCTCAAAACGGTGCTTTTAAAAATATTCATTATTTTTTTGCCAATTAATTGGTTAAAATAGCACTTTATAATATTTTCTTTAATATATACTTTTTAATACTTAGAAATATACTTTTTTCAATTTCTGTTGAAAAAAATTGGTTAAACCGTATTTAAATTACATTTTTTAGCAAAATTTGTATGATAGTGTTGAATCAAAATTTGGAATAACGGATGGTGAAAATGGTATTGATGAGGAATTAGCTGGAAACAAGAGAACAGGTAAAAAATTTTTTAAAGCAGGATACCATTTTGATTGTATGTCTAAATCTTATCTTTCGAGCGGCATATTGCTTTTTGAAAGAAAGCAGCAAGGAAAAAAGATTTGAAGATTTGATTTACGATTTGGATTCCTAATAGAAATAAATTTGTTGTTAAAAGTGAAAATCTGAGTGGCACTATGTTCTTCCAAATGGCTCTGGTAAAATGATCTTATTCTTTAGCCAGTGGGTCAAATAACCAAAAATACTGCATTCTATCAGGAGAAAGATTTCCAAAATTTAAAAATCAAAAAGAAAAATTAAAAATATAAGGGGAAGATTTTTGATTAAAATAAGATTTAACCTTTTCTATTTAGCCTTCTATTTTGATATTAAATATTTTCAGATAATTATGTGGAAGGAAAGAAGATTCACAAAGTTTTTAACGTCGAAAAGTAAAGTTTCGTTTAATATTTAGTGGTTATTAACTATTTGAAGTATTGAAAAACTTTGCCATTGATTATCATTTTATCACATTTATTTTAGGAAATCGGAGATCAATTATAATGCTAACTCTTGCGATAATTCAACACAGCACAAATCTTATGAAAAAAATAATGGAGAAGATTTAGAAAAAATTTCGATGGTTAGCAGTCATATGAAAGAGAATAATTCTTCAGGAAACGATGAACATAACTCATTGATGAAGAAGAACGACGAAATAAAGCATCGAATGTTGAAAACAGTTGATAAAAGGAAGGTAACTAGCTATCATTCAAACCAACTTTTTTTTTAAGAATTTTGTTATAACTGAAATTTCAATAATAATTACATTTCTGAATGGATTTCAGGTTCTAAAAATGCATACCGCTGTTAGGTTGAATGAAATAATACTTGAGCATTCTGCTGATAGCCAACTCATTCTTCTTAACCTTCCGAAACCACCAGTTGGACGAGAAGGTTTATTTACTTTGATTGGTAAAATTATATATGCATAAATATTCCACTGCTTCTTGACATCTTCATTTATATATGAGAATGAACCGATCTCATGAACCATAATTGCTAAGGGAGGAGGAAAAACTGGTTTCAGTACGGAAGATTAATAAGGAATTAATCAGTTCATAGGAATAAAATTTGTTTCTGAAGTATATTTATTTCTGAAGTAAAAAATTATAAAAAAAGTATATTGTAAATTATTACATATTATATGTAAATTGACAGGACTTGATGATTATATGCATTATTTGCAAGTTCTTTCTGATGGAATCAGTCGAATTTTATTCGTAAGAGGAACGGGTAAAGAAGTGATAACGACAAGTTCATAATAATTTACTTATTTTCGTTTTATCTTTTTTTCTGGGTGCTTTATTATTCCTTTTTTACGATTTTAGAACATTGTTTTGATTTGCTTTTTCAGTTCGTGTTTTTTAGTTTGGAAAAAATTCCCAAATCCAAAACGATACCCCAATGAATTCCATTTTCACAGCTTTTTTTAAAACAACTTTCCAATTTTTGGCTGATAGCCATTTTTTTGTCAATGATTATCAGTACCTGGTGACACCTGATACTTAAATACCTGAATAAGTTAATCGAACTTGGCGAGGTCTAACATGAAGCGTGAATTTGTATGTATGTATGTACCTTCTCCGGGTGATTATATAAGGAGGATGAAGGACCTATTAATTATTTACAGGCGTTATTTTGAATATTAAAATCAGCATTTTAATAGTTAACAGCTCAATTCCACTTTTACTGATCGATGCAAGGGCGTATAAATTTATTTCTAGTATGTTTTGTACATCAACATATTTTTTATAAAATCATTTATTCAAATATTCGTTTTTTCATCGATACCTGCATAAAGTTTCAAATGTTTCAATATTTATATAATAAAAAATTGTAGGCATTCCTGTGTGATTGTTGTCTATCAAAGAATTGAAGAGAGAAAACGTTGCTGCACCAGGCTAAACACCTGCTTACTAAGGCACACCATTAATTGGAAGGCAATTTTAAATGGTACTTTACACAATATCGCAACAAATTAATCCTCTATCTACCATACTAATAATAATCCACCAACCATCACAATATATAATTTACAAAATTTTCGAGAAAATAAGGGAGATCTTTGTACAACTATTGTTGAATGAATAATTTTTAGGTCTTACAAGGAAAGATAGCAAATAAAGTTGCAGGCCATAAAGAATTTACAAATTTAAAATTTATGATAGTAAATAACGACACTATATTACAAAAGACTGGTATACTAATTATTGAAATAAAGGATAAGGATTTGAAAGCATTATATATACACCGTAAAATGAAAGAATTTTGACACGCAATAAAACAATCACGAAACATGAAAGGTTTTACATTCCATGATAATATGCTTAACAATAATAGGAGATTAGTAAGGAAAAAAAATAAAAAATAATTCCAATCTTAGTACATCAACACAAAACATACCAGAAATGGACCTTGCGGGAAGCTAAAAATTTTTTCTCGCAGATCGCAAAGGATTCTCCCAATCTTCTGCTTGATAAGAGTTATTTACAAAGCTTGATCTACCCAAAGTTCCTGTTCGTATCACACTATCACCATGCTTGGAATCTGCAAAAATGAAAAAAGTTCGCAAGAATAAATGAAATGAAATAAAAAATAAAATAAAAAATGAAATGAAATTTAAAAAAGAGGAAAATTTAAAAGAAGAGATTTTTAAAAGAGAAAAAATTCGAGAAGTAAACAAGTTTTTTTGTCAAAATAGGTATGTTTTAATGCCTAAAATATGTTTTAAATATGTACTATGAAGTGAAGAAATAAAATATGTTTTAAATATGTACTATGAAGTGAAGAAATAATAAAATATTGTATACGAAAAACAATAGCTTCGAAATTTTTTTAAATGAAATAATTTTGCTGTACCTCCGTCCGAAAACGACGCATTAATATGATATTCGTTAGATTCTAACTGAACAAATTTTTTATAAGCATTCAAACGAGGACTAAAAGTGAATCTTCTAGCGTTTTCACTGCAAAAAGATTTAAATCATTCACTTCGACAATTCTTTAATTTCTTGAATTATACTTGGATATAATACTTGGAGATAATAAAGTAGTATAAATTATATCTATTACTTATTTGCAATTTTTGACATTCGTGGACTAAAATGTTGAAAATCAATCAACATTTCTTCTTGCAAAACTTATCGTGACAAAATCAGAAATGGAAAAAAATCTCTGATTGGCAATAAAATATGCTTCCTTCAGAAGTACTTGTAACACTTTCATATTTTAAATGAACACCTCGTAAAAATTTCGGTGCCACTGTCATCAGTATGAGCGAAATCACCACTAGAGCTTGAGCTAACCGATAAAATTCTGCAAGAATAAGAAAATTGTCAGATTCTTGGATATGTCGATTTAAATGATATATATTTTAGTAAATATTTTTATCTTTTCCTTTTTCAAACAACTAATCAATTGTAGAAGAAATTTTTCTACTGATCACGGGTACTTTTTTTTAATACTTCCCGCAATAACCTCATAAACTAAACAATAAGAAATAATTCTTCATAATATACTTTTCTGATGATAAAGATGAATCTATCATTAAACCTAACACGAATGATCTCCAGAGATCTAGTTTCACCTCTATTCCCAAATGGCTGAACCTGACTGTCTGAGTTTCGATACACTGCAAATTTAACCAAGTGGTACAAACGATTAATCGATGTATTAGCGATTGAGACAAGAAAACTAAAAGTGATAATGAAAGCTCTAAAGATCTATTCTTTGTTAAAACAACATAGAATTGTTAAAACAAATTGGTACCCATTAGCGAGCGCGCCCCGCCTATGCAGTACGACAGATTATGAATGGGCGAAACAGCGACATATGACCTATATCAAATGCCTTTTTCGCTTTCTAGATCACCAATTTGAGTTTAGAAACAAGGATAATGTATCATAAGGTGATTTGAATGGGGCAAATCAGCCACTTTTTCCATTTCCATATCATATAGGATCAGATCAGTTGGTCATTTAACTTATATTATATTATATTATTAGCATCTGGATAGCCTATGTCAACTCTGCCCTAAAAGAAATCTCTCTCGGATAATCAATGTGTATTCTACACGCTGATAATCTTGCCAACGATAGAGTTTATAGGAGCCTTAATAATCTTTTTCAAAAACATGATCAAAGAACGGAATACACCTAGGACACGAACATATAATTGATAAGTAAGGTATCAGGATGGGAAGCACTACAATGTCTTCGTTTTGCCTGGGAAAGAATTTTTGTTACCCGTATATGCTTTCAGCAGAATATCTAGTTGCACGGTACACTTTCTTACCAGCATTCAAAAAAGGTCGAAATATGCTCCTCTATCAAAATCTGAAATAAAGATGCTGAGTTCTATATTTTATAGCAAATTCTAACAGGCCAGGCTGATTAACCATCATCGGAAGAATTCCTAAAGGGCCAATAAAAATAAAACTGCAAACGCAGCACCTATAATTCGGAAAGATTTAGCGTTTCTGAAACCGAAAAACTGAAAAAAAAACCGAACTTTGGAAGTTTCAATCCTACGTGATAGTCCTAATTAAGTTATGTTTCAAAAGACTTTGCTAAATCCACACATACTCAAAAGATAGCAAACTGGGCCTCAGAAGGGATAACCCAGCTATCTGAAAAAGATTAGTAAAGATTGTACATTATTCAGCGGCAAAGCGGGAGAAAAGCCAACATAAGGAAAGCTCCTCGCGTATGCAAAGGTGGAAACCTATTTCACCATTTCCAATCGCAACACCATGTAATAGTTCAATATAAGGAAAAGATTCCATTATAGCCAGAAAAGATCAGATTTTTCACGATTCAGAGTTTTTTTAAACGAAAATGCACCATTTATCGCCCCCGAATAAAAAAATGCATCCCTAATCATATGTCCAGAACCAGGCGACAGCAATAAAGCTTAAAATAATCGCCATAACTTAGAAAGTTAAGACCAATAATGTTCCCATACAGAATTGAAATGGCATCGGATCGAGAAAATTGGAAACATTATCTAGACGGAACTAACTAGTAACTGAAAGAAAAAGATCAGTGGAAAATAAAACATAAATGTTGACTGCTTAAATTGGCTTAATTTATTTGTAAAAAATACATTGCATTTTTGCGCACTACCACCCTAAAATCCTGAAAAAATCTTATTGAGCCAATTCAACAAAAACCTTTTATTAGCTTCATCAGGGCTATTTTTGTCTTTGAAAGGATTGTAGGTATTAATGATATTGATTGCCTCTTCGGGCAAACGCATTTTTGTATCCTCGTAATGTGGAGGAGCACTCTGCGGTGGTCTTTTTTGCTCAATGCATTGCGAACCATTGCAGCTATAATTTGGCGATCTATATGTAAAATTTTACTTATATTATTAAAAATGAATAAAGAAAAGACATAAAAAAATTGCAGAAGTTTGTCCTAAATACAAATCTATCTAATCTAATCTATCTAATGGTTTAATAAATAATGAATAAATACCGCTTTCAGTAAAAAAAATTATTAAATTTTACAACTAATTTGAAATATAAAATTGTCGTTTCAAAATTGTTTAAAAATAGTTTCAAAATTGTTCGTTTACCGCAAATTTGAATCTTCGGAACTGAATGACTGATTTGAAAAAGGATTTGATATGGAATGTAAATGAGAAAGTGGTGGAACTGTTTCTTTCGAAAATGTAGAATTTGCTGGTTTAAGAATGTCGCAAGATAAGTAAGGTGTAACATCTGATATCTTAGAATTTCCAACATTCATCAACGTCGAGGGTGGCTCCTAGAAACTAGTGATTGAGAAAAAATAAAAATCAAAAGCATTTTCTATTCGAATTATAATAATTTTTAATGAAAATCTCTAAAGAATTAGCTTTTGTAAAGGAATGCAAAAAAGGCAGAAAATAAGGACGAATGAAAAATGATAAGGAGTCGTTTTGGTCCTCAGAAATATTGGAAATAAGTTTAATTGAACGAAGACGATTTTTTACAAATCGTCAGCCTTCAGTGGAGCACAGTTCCAGTTTTATAACCATATTCGTCTTTTTCTTACAGTAATAATAATGAATGCATAAAAATTTAAAATAAATAAAAATAACAAACTATAGTTTTATCTTCCTCACTAATGCCTAAATTAGGATGGCTTTCACTGGAACCAGCACTGATTTCTTTGTCAAAGTAACCATGTTTGATTCCATGGCCAATCGTTTTTTCCCCATTTTTGCATGCTCTTAATTCTTCATTTTGCTGCAGAAAAAGAATTATTGTGCAAAAACATATAGAGCAAAAAATTGCTCTTCATTCTAAATAAAATCAGAAAAGTTTACATTAATACATCTTTAGAAAATGGATAACTAACAAATGCATGTTTTCCCTCAGCAATTGGCACAAACTCATTTGATTCTTTTTTACTACCTAAAATGATGAAATTATGAGCAAATATTAAGCATCTTTGCTCGAAAAAACTGTAAATAAGCCAGTAATCCATAGATTATATAATTATAAATAATTTCTGCAATAAAAAATAAAATCCAATATACAAAAACAAAATGAGGAAAAATTTCATTATCGATTTCATAATCCTTTTTTTGCTATAATTGTGGTATTTTTTGCGAGAGTAATTCATTTATCAGAGAGAAAAATTAAAATCATCTATTCACTTTTTAAATGCTGCAATATATTAAAATCGAAAGGCGCTGCGCCAAACGGATCTGATAAATCGAGTTCTGGACTTTCATGAGCACCAGCACCAGCTGAAATATGAAATGTAAAGCCTGATTATTCTCAGTTGATAAAAGCAATGAAAAAAATAAAAATGATTAAACGAGTAGAAAGAAATATTAAGACGTAAAAAATCCATTTGACTATTCCGCAAAATCTCAGAAAACCTTTTTTTTTAAAAAATTAAATCCTGTTTTTTGTGGAGGTCGAGAAATTTGAAGAATAATAGCAAAATATCTCAAGTGAGTTGGAAAGGATCGACAAAATGAACTTAACGAGAAATATTCACATATTATCTTAAAAGAATGAAATATACGATACTGATACAAAGAATCGCTTGAACTGTTTTCACAAGGCTTTTTATTCTAGTTTATTCTTGATTTTTTATTGTTTATAAAACCATTGAAATAAATAATTGAACCAAATACGATATTACAGCACAAATAAAGTTGTCGTTAAAAAAACAGCAGTAATTTTCGACTTAAAAATTTCAAGGAAAATTTTGGATTGAAAGAATAACCTCTAGGCAATCCATCAAAGCATACCCCAAAACTACGATCATCCATAATAGAATTTGCGTTATTCGAAATAATTTCAAAAGGAGCATCGAGAAAAGGATTCCATGAAGAATCATTTTCATCCATCTGCAACATTTTTGGATACTCATGCTGGATCTTATGTCGCAGAAAAATTTTTTATAAATTTCAGCTAAATGTTGAAAAAAATCCTATTCCCATAAAAATGAACTTAATCTAACTCTTTCGAATGATAGTGAAGAAATATTTTTTGAATCAATCGCACTCGACTTCTTCGTCAAATCATTGTCTCGCTCAGCACTATATGGTCTAAAAATATCACTATAAACGTATATGATAAGGTTATTCAGATAAAGGATAAAGTAACAAACTTGAAAGCACTTGACTTCAGTCTATCAGAATTCACACTCCATTTATTCAAACCTTTAAGAGATGACATCCCCAACTTATCACCTGAAATACTCTTTTTAACACAATTGAAATGAATGAATGATGAAATTATCTATTCAAAAATAGTTCAAAAATTCAAATGAAAAAAAATATACCATGACCCCATTCACGATTACAACTAGACAGCTGAGGAGCAGAAGCGTGAAAAAAAGAAGAATCATGACCAGTGGAAACTGAAGAAGAACTTTCATAAGGAAATTTCACCCTATTTTTCTCGAGCTGTTCTGTAGGTCGAACATTTTGTATGTGCTCCGAATCTATATTCACCTCGTAATCTATAAAATATTTAAATACGAAAAAATTCTTATAAATAAAAAAATTTATAGCTGGCAACCATGAAATAAATAAAAAACCTCTCGAGAAGGTCGCTTGAAAAAGTTCGGATTTTGACATTGAGTCAGGGCCTAAAATTATAAGTTTAGAACAAATTAAGACAGCAAAAGAATTACATAACAAAAAAATATTTTATAAAGAAAAATTAAAAATTGGTCAATTAAAATTAAAATTAAGTTAAAATTATAAACTTAATTATTTAATTATAAACTTAATTAAAATTAAGTTAATTAAAATTTTTGGTTACATATTTCAATCCAATTATATGCAAACTGAACAATGGCCCTAAAGAATAATGCAATAAAAAAAAACTATTGTAAATCTATTGTCAAAATTACTTTGTTGGGTTACTGGTCCAATGTCAGGATTTGACAGACTACTTTGCTGCCTAAAAGACTGCAAACAAGATGCATCAGCCGTTAGAACAGATTTCTAAAAAAAGTACTATCGACAAAAAATTGAAAACTTGAATAAAAAAATAATATATTCTCTGGGAATAATCAAAAATATTTTAAAAAATTATTTTTGATTACTTTCTATAAAGAAAAGAAAAAAAATAAAACAAATAAATATAAAAATAAAATAAAAATTAAAACCTCTTTTCCCCTGTTTTGTGGAGAAACCTGATTTGTCCCACTGATAGCAAGGCCAAGACGATTGAGGCTTGACAATGGCTTCGGTCTTAATCGAGGATTTACAGAAGTTGTCCCGTCATTCTTTAATGAAACCTGAATCTTTGCTTATTTTCGCGAAATGACCCTCAATTTTTCCAATCATGAAGTTGTTCCGTCATGAAAATTTTCTAGTTAAATAATTTTGAGAATTATGCCATAACTTAATGACCATGATTACTTGTTATTTAATAAAACAAATTAAGAATAAGAAAGGAAGAAACCTGCTCGGCTTTGGATGACGAGGAACGGCTTGATTTTAGATCTTGATTTCTATAGGCCTTATTCGGATTTTCAGTTACTTGAATGAAATCATCTGAAGTCTTTGAAGCTTGACCTCGAAAAATTGCGACTATTTCTGATAAAGAAATTCTTCGCACTTTCTGAATTTTAATGAAATTGTGTTATAAATTATATAAAACCATATTAGGGATAAATTTTCAACTTTATCGGAAGATATTTTCAAAATAATCATAAAAGAAAGCTAATAAGTAAAGCTAATAAGTAAAGCTAATAAGTAAAAGCTAATAAGTAAACAGTTTTATACGCAAAAAACTGAAAAAAAACGAGAGTCATTATATATATATATATATGTATATATATTATATATACATATATAATTTATAAAAGATAAATATGATTAAAAAACCTATTCGCCATTTCCACTTTCTAATTTTTCATAAAAGAAACTTTAAAAAGTCATTTAAACAAAATTTAAAGACTAATCTTACGATTATAATTCACACTTTCATATAAAGTTAATTTTTGATTCAATTAATCTTTTCTAAAATAAAAATGACATCGAAATAGATGAATATGCCTAGTAAATCAAATAAATATTTTGGTACACCAAAAAACACAATTAATCAAAAAGTCAAACATTAAGATTGCCAATGGGCGAAATTCGACCATCAGCCTCAAAAGCTAATGACGCTGTCTGAAAGATATCTGGACGGTGATCAATATTAACATCCAGTAGACATTCTAAAAAATTTGTTATAAATTATCAATAATAAATAATAATAATATAAATAAATCAAAAGGAATTTTAAAAAAATTTGAAATATATTAAGCTTATCAAATTTTTATATTGCATAAATCATAGATATTTAAATAGCTTCATATAACGAACTGATAATTGCTTGAAGTTCGTCGGAATAAACCGGCTGAGAAGGAAAATTATAAGAACAATTTTGAATTGCTAAAGAATTTTCGCCGAAAGGCAAAATAAAATAGCACAGTTTGTACAGCATAACTCCCAATGCCCATATGTCGCTTTTAGTTCCTAAATCATTCCCAAAGCAATAATACAATAATTAAAATAATCATCCAGATCTTTCTTTTTTCGCTTTTCCGCTTGATGAGAAATTAAAATCTACTTTATAACAATTTTTACTACTACTACTTTATAACAATTTTTAGGCAAAAGTAAACCATTATTAATTAGACTAAATTTTGCCTCAAATAAAAATGGAGTTTAATTTAGTTTAATGGAGTTTAAATAATGGATCAAAAAAAACGATGATGATCAAATTATGAAATAATAGACATAAAAAATCAAAAAAAATAACCAATAGGTTGACACGAACAAAGATCGATCATTTCTGGAGCTCGATAACTTATAGTAGTATATCGATTTATGTCTTCCTCTATATACTGCAACGAGTGGGTTTCAGCCGAAAGAACCTCAATAGAAACATATATTAAAATAAAACAGAAATAAAATAGCTGAAAATGAAAATAATATATGGCAAGTGGTAATTAAGATTTAATAATTTTGCATTTGAAATCCTTTGTACTTTTGAAATATATTTGCCTTGGCTAATTCTAAACAGCCAGCCAGTCTTCCATTTTTTGTGGCAGACTTACTTCAGTCTAGAAATAAGAAATCTACTGCCTGGCTTATATCCAGTCAAATACGACCCAATGCTCTTATGGTTCTTTGACCATTTGAAGAAATTTAAAATTGCATTTTTTTTGCATCATTTTATTTTATCGACAAGTTCTTCAGTAAATTCTTCATAAAATTGCAAAAATTATAAATGAAATATCGCATTTTTCATATTTATTTATTTATATCATTATAATAAACTATACCTTTGTAGTAGCACTTCCAAAATCACACAAAACATAAAATGGTTGAACACCGCGACGACGATCATCTATAAGGACATTTTCAACCTGGAATACTCACCACAACTTGAAGACGAAAAAAACATGTGGCTATTTTCATGAAAAATATAAATTATGGATTTCTTTTTACTCAAATTTGAAGGAAAAGATACCTTAAGATCTCGATGAATGACCGGTGTTTGTGAATGATGAAGTCGAGCAACGGCTTCACATATATCACAAAATATCGAGAGAATTTCTTTGGATGATAAACAACGACCACTGCTTAACCGTTCATTCATAAGTTGAAGCACACTATCTAATGTTTTAAAGCTTGTTAGAATGGACTTTAAATTGGAACACTGAATTTTTAAAAAATGAAATCTAGTCAAAGGAATTTTCTTACTGTGGACTTCCATTTTTTTTACATTCCTTATTACTGTTTGCGAAATTCTATTTTTCTGAGAGGTTATTCATTACTAACAACTTTTCTCCAAAGCAAAAAATTTTTCTTTCACTCTCAATTTTTCATTTGTGAATTTTTCAGTGAATAAAATTTGTAAAGTTTTCTGATAAACTAACTAGATTTTTTAATCCTAATAAAATGATGGATTATATGAGATGCATGAATAAAAAAAAACTTTTATAATAAGCCGTTAATAACGAATATTCATAAACACCGGAAGAATTCTTGGTAAGTAAATGATCAGCATATGCTACAATATTTTTATGACCGGATAAACAACTCTGAAATTGATAAAAGAAAATAATAATTTCAAAAAAAAGTAAAAAATCGATATTGATATCGACCAGAAAAAAATTTTAAGGCAATGCAAAAAGCTATAAAGAAAGATAAGAGGAAGATCATTCCTGTTTACAGTATAGTATCGTTTGACCATTCCTGTTGATGATATATTCTATTTGCCACAAACAAGATGAAAAGTTGAAGTTGAAAAATCTTATAAAAAATTGCGTCCATCCCCAAATAATAATATATTAACAATTGTTAGAGGCCATTCACATCATCTTTTTCACTCCTCCGTTTTTCACTTCATCTTTTTTCAAAAAGTTTTGACACATCTCGCTATATACCAAGCCTCGTGGTAAATGGCGTCAAAAGCTAGGGACCTGATGAAGACGACATAATCACAGTTTTGAATGCAAATGAGGCCAGATATATATGCCTTAGATGAAAAAAGAAAAGAGAAGAAAAAAGAAATTTCATATATTGCATCAGAATGAGAGGTTAGAAATCGCATATAGCCAGTGCAAGCAATTAAACCAACATTCATTTGACGCCTCTACATTTAAAACCAATCAGGAAGGACTAAATTGAAGTGGAATATAATTACTGAAATACGCAAAAAAAAAATTGCCGAAGAAAATTCAAAAGTAAAATTACACATACAACGATACGACATTCCCGTTGACAAGCTTCCAGCTGTCTTGGATCATCATTTATAAACTGCCTTTTTAGCGCGTAATGCCGATTATGTTTGTCTGTTGCGAGAAATACTATTGCAAAGCCACCTTTAAAAAATTGACAAATTCAATTTACACATTTAACTACCATTGTTAATTTTTAAAAGTTGATTTTATTAATAAAACTCTTAATGGGTAAAATATTTCACCTTCAGCCAATTTTTTTTCAATTGTGACTGTATGCTTTGGAAGCTTTACAATGGTTCCTTTTGAATCTCTAAGCTCCGTGGAACAATGTCCTAAATTTTCAATTTTAAAAATGGAAATAATTTAGTAAAAAAAAAAGATAAAATTAGGAAAACAAATATATTTAAGAAAATATTTCTAAAATATTTTTAAAATAATATAAACAGTTAATAATAGTTAAACAGAAAAAGAAAAGAAAAAATAAAAGAAAAAACATTTGAAAAATCATTTTAAGAAAAAAATTTACAAATATGACTATATAATAAAATTTTCTAAAAAAAAATTTACATGATTTTGAAATAAAATTATTTTCTAAATAAAAATTTACAAATGTGATACGCAATAAAATCATTTCCGTATATTTAATCATTGCGCTGATTTATAAAAAAGGAACAAACGAATTCTTAATAAACCTGTGACTCATTTCATTTTCTTAGAATGATTATATAAAATATTGCAGTATTTATCAATGTTTCCAAATGCTAGAAAGCTAGAAATGAAGACAAACACTTAGTGACTGTCCAATTCTGTTTCTAATTTCCAGTTCTATCAAAGTTCAATTTTTTCCCTAATTAATTTGTTGATTTATCGACGATTTTATCAAAATTTGAACAAAGAAAATTAAGAAAAAATGCCGAAAAGGAATTATATGTCAATAAATGAACGATAAAGTTTTTGGTAAAAAATCTCTGAAAGGAAAAATTGAAATCGCTTTGCTAACGCCTTGTAGAAGGTTTTCAAAAAAAATATTTATAAACTATAAAAATGGAAAAAGAAAATACAATGCTTTTATAAGATCCCAGAAAAACCATACATACGATATATAAATGAAAATTTAACCATTAACAATATAATTTAATTAAATTCAACAAACAAAAATAACTTAATGGTATCAAAAAAAATAAATGAATAAACTTTTTTTTTTTGAACAGAACCCACCATTACTGGTTCACTTCACTAACTTGCTCAACTATACCAAGCAAATCTGCGGCAATAGAAACACTGGTGATATAAGTAGACCGCCAGCACCGTGGACCTTCACTCCTTCCGGGAGTGGAACTTCAGCGGCGTTCCAAATTGGGCAACAACCCATCAAGCCATTCTACTCACCTTTTGCCTTCTCTCCATTAGACGAAAGGCTCGCCCCACGAAGAGTGAAGAGTCGATTGGACTTGAGCCTAAGCCTCCGTCCTCGGTGGCAATTGAATAGAATAAATAATTGACCAAAAATTTTAAAAAATTTCGACAGGTGAGAATAGTAAAAATTTTTTTAAAAAAATTCTCATCATTGCTGGTTAAACTCGCTCCGCTGGCCTGGTTCACTGGACAAATACGCCAGGGAGTCCGTTGGGAGCAGAAGTGCAGGCGAGTCGTCAGCACCGCCACTCGGGTTTCCGGACAGGTTCACTCCTGCGGGGAACACCTCAGCACCGGCACTGAGCAACAACCCACCCACCGAGCCATCCTATCTAAATTTTAACAAATTTCGACAGGCGGGAACACTGAAAGTATGAAAACACAAATAAAAATATTAATTAATAAATATTAACATTAATTATGCAAATTATTCATTATTAAAAACGATGAAATAATTCACCAGCAATAATAATAATAATAAATAAAGCGAGAATTAAAGAATTAAAGAAACGGTTTGATTGAATAATTGCAATGTATAACCGGAAGAGGCAGCTCGACTGTCTAACTGTTGCAGCTTCGTCGCACTCCCAAATAAACCCAACGGCATTCTTCACTTCAGCTTTCAACCTCCGCCCAACGATTCTAACAATAAAGACATAATTAAAACGCAAATAAATAAAACGCAATAAATTCATCGAATGAAATGAAAATCGTTTCAAGACCTAAGCCTTTTAAACGCAAACCATGCAATCGCACTTACGACCACGAGGGCTAATGATAATCCGAAAAATTGTACGAGTAAAGATTTATCAGCTAATTAAAAATTTTAGTTAATAACCAAAATGTTTACAAAATTATAAAATATATATAAAATAACGAAGAAATATGAGAATCGAAGAATTTTCAAAAAATTTTTAAAGATGAAAACGATGAATATTTGACAATATAAAATGCTTTCATGAATTGTTTGCATAAATCATAAAAATTTGTTAGAAATCAATCAGTTTGAAATGCCATAAATTCACATTAACATATACCTATATTACGAGAAAATAAAAATGTTTCTAAATTTGAAATAATTTTTATAAATCATCAAATTTTCAAACCTAAAATACAGGTAATGAACTCGTATAAGAAATTACAGAAACAATTAAACAAATTCATTTAAACTGGTAATTTTGCTTTAATACGACATTTGAGAAGTGTTGCTCGATGAATGAATTGTTTTCGAGAAAGTTGTCGTACTTCTTTAAGATAATTTGGTAATGTCAACCGACCACTTTTTAAACCCTGTCCCAAGAAATATATTGCATCATCAATTGCACAATCTTGCACATAACAGCGTAACAACTTGAAAAAAAACTATTTTTGCTGCAGGAATTGATATAAAAAAAAGAAATCAAATTATCAAAATGTTTCATCTATAAGACACCGTCTAACGTACAATAAAAAATAAAAAGCTATTAAAATTTTCGTGATTTTCTATTCTTCATTCTTCAATCTGATATTATAAACGGAAGTTTGGATTTTTACAGGCATACTATTTGATATAATATACCACTTAGAACGTCCACCCTGCCCGTCGAATTTAATTCTTTAAAATAAATAAAATTTTTAAAACGGATTATATGAAATTGAATCAAAACATAAAGTAAATGAAAACAAAAAATAAAATTGAAACCTGTCGATGAAGTGGCGTACAAGCATTAATTACTGAATCAATATCTAAATCAGCATCGTCGTTGAAAGATGAAATCACAGAATCAATTTCTGCTTTTTTATTCTGAAAGTATGCTTAAGAGCAAAAGTAAAGATAAAGTCGACTGTTTAAAAATGAAAAATAACTAATTTATTCACGAATACAATACTTTATAGATATTAAGAATTTCATCCAAGTTCTTCTGCTCATTTACTAACTGATCTTTAATTTTTTTCAATTCTTGCTGTCCAGCTCGCAGATCAGAATGAGTTTGGCGAATCGACGCAATTTCAGCATGAATTGTTCCTGAAATAAATTAAATTAAAAATCAAACCACCTAATAATAATGAAAATATTAACTAATGTTTAAATTTTCTCAAATTTTAAATTTACTTTTTTTTATTGACGAATGATTTTTTTTTTAAAGAGTCCTCACCATTACTGGTTAAACTCGCTCCACTGGCTTGTCGTATTTGGCAATATGCCAGGGAGTCCCTTGGCGACAGAAATACAGGTAAGTCGCCAACATCACTCGGATTTTTGTACAATTTTACTCCTGCGGGGAAGCCAACCTCATCATCGGCGCTCGCAATTGAGCAACAACCCACTGAGCCGCTCTATTCCCCAATTTATCACTAACTAATGGTATCATATTTATATTCAAAAAATTATACCTAATTTTTCCCTGAGACGTTTTCTAATTTTATCTTCCACTGCACTTAACAAAGAAGCTTTTAAATGTTCTGGTTGTATAGTCCCACTTAAATGAGACGACTGTGAAGCAGCGTTAGAAAATAATGATGGATAATTCGAGAAATTGGGCAACTGCGAATTAGTAAGTGGATTGGCAGGCATTCCAGGTGCACTGGATGTTGAATAAGGAATGTATGGCTGTTGTGATGATTGATTAGATAACGGATAAGGAGTATATGGCTGCTGAGGCTGTGATGGTGCTCCTGCTCCGCTAGTCGGTTTAGCAAAAACAGGACAACTTTCTTGAAAATAGCAAGCCATTACCTGAAATAACAGAGTATAAATATTAAAAAACTCTACGCATAAGAAAAAAAATTGTGCTAACTTGTAACAATCCACTAAGGTCATATCCAGGAAAGCGCCAATCTGTTAAATAAGGAAGATATATCCGACCCTGTTTGTCAACAGTCTTTGATTCTTTGATCATCATCGTTGATGTGGGACAAACAAAACAAATCGGAGCATAATATGGATGAGTATCCCACAAATAAAGCGCAACAGGGATGTTATATGTATTGCCCTGGAAAATATTCTTTGAGAAATAGTAAAAATAGTTAATATGGGCAGTTTAGATAATATACATTCATATAATAAATATAAAATACATAAAAATAGCAAAAAAAAAGCATAAGCATATATAAGCATATAAGCAATATATAAGCATTAAAAACTAAACAGGCAATTACATTGTTACATTATTTCTCAACCAACCAATAAGGCCAAAAGATTATTTAATCGAAAGGATTTCAAAATTAAAATAGATTTCTAACGCAGATACTTTGTAGAAAACAGGAATAGTTCCTTTCAATCGGAAAGAAAGTCTACGATGTCCATCCGGAAAAACAAAATTTTCAGCTTCTGGTGAAAGATCAGGAAAACTATTTAGAGCGATGATAATATCGCTTTTAGCAGATTCAATATATTTAGCTTTTGTGCGATGCAGCAGCGATGCAACCAAAGAATCAGTAGTCATCTGCAAAGAATTTTGTATCTTCACAAAAATTCGCTTATTAATATGAATGAAAACATGACAAGTAATTGATAAAACATGATAACAGGAATTCTATCCTCTAAAAATCTGCAGATTAAAAGTGAATATCGATGCCAACGATACGAATGGGTAAAAGAACCTAATAACGACGCGAAAAATTCACTGTAAAGCGATCCAATAAAAGAAAAAAAACTCGAAAAACAGCACCATTATCATTTCCTCAATGATCTTGTAATTCTCACCGATAAATTCACTGCAAAATCCGATGAAACCTATAGAAAAACGTGTAAATAGAGAAAATCCTATAGATGTACACCAAATAATTATTATTTGTCCCTGTCAATCACCTTATCCACAGAAAATTAGTACAAACTATTTGCTCTTCCTTCTTTCCTTTTTTTTCTCCTTTTTATTTTTATTTTAGGAACCAAATTATAATTACTCAGCTATCTCTCAGCCCTTTTATTTTCATCTACCCACCTATTAAATTCTACTTTCGACCAAGCAGGTGCTGTGAATCAAACAACTGATAATTTCTGATAAATAAGAAAACTGATGAGGCGTGGTACTGGAAATGAAAATCGCTAAGCCCAAACACATAGCTATTAATTGCACTAAAAACCCATTTATTTACAACTAAATTCATTTGTAATACGTTTGAAGCCACAAAAATAAGCCATTCGATTAAATTTGCGTGCAACAGAAAAATTTTAAAACAAAAGAAAGGAAATAACGGAAAATAAAATTTAAATTTAATAAAAAATTGTTTTCCTTGGAATAAAATTCGTGCAAAAACAAAATTGTTTTTTCTTTTAATTTTTAGTTTAATAAATTTTATTAAAATAATTTTAAATTTGAATAATCTTTAATTATTAGTTATAGCAAACAAATCAATCAAAAAATCTCGTAAGTTTTTAAAAAATCAATGAAAATAAATTTCATTTTGAACATCATTCTTCTAACTGATAAAGAAATAATGAACGATTAATCAAAATTATTCACAGAAATTTTAATTCACCGGTGAATTTCCCGTTATCTGTTCGTTCTTATAGAAAATCGTACTACAAATATTTTTTGAACCGTTTACAGAATTTCGTTTCGAGACTGAGATTTAAATTTTAAATCTCTGAGATTCACTAGTTCAGTGATAAATTGAGACTTAAAAAGTTATAATTTTTCCATTATATATTTGACTGTAGGTTTTTTTTTCATTCCGTTTAGGCTTTAATAATTGTTAATAATTTTCTTGTTTGATAAATGCTTTTCAGTGTTCACCGCCTGAACAAGTCGCTTACCGTTCACAGCAGCGAAATGCACTGTTAATGAGGAATTCGCTCGGTGAACTTGTAAATTTTAATTTATGGAATACGGAATACTTATTTTTTCAATGATGGACAATATTCATACAAGGACATTCATTTTTACAACCTTCATTTTTTAATTATGTCATAATGTTTTTTTACCCGAGATTATTCATCATTTTTCATTTTTCATTAAAATTTCTGATTTGCTGTTATTATTTCATTTTATTAATTGAACAATAAGTTAATTTTCGCCGCTATTCCATTTTTATAGCTGTTTTCGGCTTTCCTTTGGCTTAGAAGAGGCACGGACGAACTTTCTCGAAATGCCAGCAGCCACAATGGTGAACCTTGCTTCTCCTCCAGGTTCGAGGTCCTTAACTCGCTCGAAGGTCCTTGGAGTAGTTATGTGAAAATTGGTTGCAGGTAGGTATGTCGTCTCGATGTTGGATATTCTGAGACGTTTGATTGCATATTGTCCTTACACAGTGGAAGGTACATTGAAAATATATGCTATGAGAAAGCGAGAACCTTGTATGCCCTTTCATACGAATAGTGCAATGGCAGCGCATCGCGTCTGAAAAAGAAGTGGAACTCTGAAACTGAAACTCGAAGGAATCTACATCGATTGTTTGCTTACTGTTTTTACAAGGAGGATCAAACTTGTGACGTAGCGTCTCAAGGTTTGTGTCACTTGTAGATGAATGCAGAATTTCGCTGATGTAATGTACCATACGGCCTAATGACCTAACATTAATATCTAGCTTATCGAATGCTAAGCGAATGCTGAGGACTGCAGCTTTAAGTTGGCGATGCTCGAGAGAATCAGCTTGGGAATAAAAAGCAGCAGTCCGACAATAAAGAGAAGACCAGTAATTTGTAGTTCTTTGAAAAAAATTGATTGATTTATTCAATTATTTTCGTTGTGGTCCAAATACGTGCTCCAAAGCTCTCTTTGAATATTTTAAATTTATTATTCGATACAGGAACGAGTCCACAATTTAATCGGTTTTTTTTATAAATGGCAAAACAAATCGGTCGTCGATCAGTCAGTCTTGATTTTGCTGAAATCAGTAGTGTTACCACTTCCTTTCATATGGCGAAAGTCAAAACTCTATGAAAAGTTCTCTCGCTTCTCGTGGAGGTCTGTTAGCAAGAGATGATACAACATATGTGGGTGGCTAATCAGTCAGAAAGAAAGAACTGTCTGCCTTCCAAGAAATGTCGAAAGTACAGAATAGATCTTTGCTGCAAGTGCTGATTTCCCTTGAAAATGAGCTTTGTTTCATTGATGTACTGATCTCATGAAATTGCCACCATTAAGAATGAGTTTATCTGAGATCAATGATATTTAAATTTTGCACCTTCACTTTTTATTTGACTGATATTGGGAACTCTGTCATTCTCCATTCACTCTGTTTTATTGTTGCAGTACTGCTCCAACAGTAGAATTGGAAGCATCCGCTACCAATGAAGTTGATGCATTACTGATTGGATTGGACATTGCTTGTCGGCACTCAAGAGGTGTCCGAATTAGTCCAGAGCATCGTATCATAAATCTTGAATACGCTGATGATGTAGTCCTTTTTGCTGACAATTATAATGAAATGCAAGTAATAACGTGTCAGATATGTATTAGAATAATGTGTATCAGAAACTGCAGCAAGAATTGGACTCAGGATCAATGTAAATAAAACGAAAGCCTTTTCGTCTTATGTGCAAGAAGCTGATAAAATGCCTCTTTTTGCAAATTCATTGCCGGTTGAGGAAGTGCCTAATTTCAAATATCTTTAGTCCACTCTAATACCAAATGGACAGGCAAAAGATGATATTGTAACTCGGATCACGGCAGTTAGAAATGCGTTCTTCCGGTTGACGAAACCTTTATGGAATCGTCGTGAAATCACCATAAAAACGAAAGTCCGCATCTATATTGCCGTGATCCGTTCGATCTTACTATATGGTTCTGAGACATGACCAATGAGAGTGGAGGACATTAACAAGTTATCTGTCTTTGACCACTCTTGTCTAAGGTATATTTTACAAGTTCGCCGAGTGGATAAAATCTCACAAGATCGCATCCACCTTCGTTCAAATACCACTTGCATAAATAATGTTATTACAGAGCGCCGCCTTCACTGGTTAGGGCACATTCTCCGTCCACCAAACGAGTTGACATATTTCGTTATTTCGTTAAACCGTGTGATTCAAAAGCGAGGTGGGCCAATCAAGACCTCGACTGATACGGTGAGAAAAGATTTTGAACGTATAGGTGGATTAGCAATATATGGACTTAGACGATGGAAAAAGGAATGGCTTCCATTACTGTCAACGATGGCAACAAACCGCGCCGCTTGGAAGCGTCTTACCTTTGTAGCCATTGGAGCCAGCCTAACCAGTAATGGTGAGAGCTGTTAGAAGAAAAAGAAGAAGATTGGATTAAATATTACGTTGGCATTGATGCTGAACACATTGATTATATTGATGGTGAAACTAAAGTAAACATTTTTAATATCATTAAATGCAGACTCGCATGTCAATAAATGGAAGAGTTTGAGTTTGCCAGCCATAAGATCCGCTAGAGGTTTAGCTATCTCAGCTGCATGCGGAATGGATCGACGGTAGAAGTTTGAAGTTTGCCCTGCAAAATTCTCTTAACTTGTGTTTGACAGCGACATTAAAAGTCCTTGAAAAATTGAACTTTGTTGCCGAGTGCCCTACTGCTGAGTTTAATATCCAATGTGCGAGGTCTAATTCTGGCCGTCGGAACTGCGATTTCGAGATCGACGCTTGCTGCCATGTACGCTTAGCACTTGAAATGAGACACTGAGGTTCTTCATGCTCGTCTAGTGTTAATCTCACTTTCATTATGTTACCGATGAAGGCGTAGTAAAACGATAATGCCGCTGATGAAGCAATGAAAGATTTATGGATTATTTCGTAAACCAAAGGATACTCTTACATACTCGAATGGTATGGGTTTTAGTGCAGCTGTCGGAATTACTATAATTCGGCTTTTGTAATTTTCCTTCACAGTTGCGATAATTCGATGGTAAAAATAACTCACATTGGAGAGGGATACATTCTCGAGGTTATTAAATTTAATAAATTTCCATTAAAACTGTTCTATTTATTGTTTATGGTAATTTTCGACTAAGATTTTATTCAACTTCTTTTTCCTTCATTAATTAATAGGAAAACTTCTAATAATAAAGGAAAAACCATTTTTTAGAACCATAAACGAAGTGCCAATTCACCGCCAGTTTTATTCGTATTATTTGTTCATTGAACATCTTTTGAGGAAAATATTCGAAATGTTTGAATTCGTTATTAAAACGGAAGATTTTTTGCATATTTCAACAAAAAAATCATTTTGAAAAATTGCAACTATACAAATTCAATTTTCTTAGTTTTTTTGATGAACAAAAATCAAGGAAAAAGAAAATCTCCCTTCTGATTGTTATTTATTAGCCACCTTAAACACTATTTTCATCGTAAACGCGCCTAGCACTCAAGCACAATTCCTCCGGAAAAATAAGCGCACTTTACCATTAGCAAAGCCTGCAAATTAAAGCGAATTTCGCAAGCGCGGCACTAGCCGAGGAATTGCGGCCCATGGATCTGCTCAAATCAACGATGATGAAGAGTGAAGTGAACAGTACATAGGAATCAATTCGCTGCGAAAAGGCTTTTAGATGTCGCTGAATAAAATCAATTTCTAATGCTTGCCAAGTGAAGGTATCTGTGTGGGAAGGAAAAGCGGAACAATGTAGCGCATTCGATCGATATGAATGCTTGCTTGAATGTTATGGATGTTCGCATCATCGACAAATGAATGTTAATTGCAAGCATATTCAGTCCAATAATTAAGCAGTGATCGATAATGCGAAAGAGATTTTATCATTGATTTCCCATTTTTAAAATCACTGCCAGTCGTTTCTTGTCGATTTAACGAAATTTATTTGTTCGAAGCGTTCAATAAAAAAAAATTTATCGCCTTTTTTCAGCAGAAAATTTATGGAAGAATTCACTGGATGTAGCTGCTGGTTTTATCAGCTATCAGTTTTATCAGTGATTGTTTGTTTTGAGTTGTTTTCATTTGGATTGATCAGCTGATTTGTAGTTCTTTTTTTGTCTGGGGATGATTTGTTAAATTCGTGATAATCAGCTGTTTTTTCTTTTGAAATGGTTCGTTTCTATTTTGAATCAGTCAGAAAAATCGCTGATCGTTGATATCTTTCGATTGATCTCTGATATTTACGATTATAGTGATTATTCAGCTGATGGTCGCCACTTCTGTTCCATATCTCTTATATAAATTAGCTAATTATTTACAAGAAATTTGCGCTTTATTCTTTAAAATTTATTTTCTGCTTTATATATGACTTGCACATATGGACGGACTGACGTGAATCGGCAGCGAATATGCCGAATTCCCCTTAAGCTAAAATTTATTTAGGTCAAAGGGCAAGAGGCAAATTTGCGCGATCTAGCCGATTATTAACGTTTCCTTTCCCAGTATGTCTTAAAATGTCGATATCGACTTTTGCTTATTCATGGATAGCGATCTATTTAGTAGTGAAGAAATCAAACGTGGTCGATAGCAAAGAAGTGCATAGTTGGCGAAATTCTGCAAGAGCGGGGCTTCCGCTTTATTAATTGGTTAATCTCTAATTTATTGGGTGACATTTTAACCTATTCTACTATACCTACTTGTTCCTTCATTTGTTTGTCATTCGCTTATTAAATTCGCTTGTTGATTTGACTGAAATATTAAAAATTATAAATTATTACTCAGCTTTAGTTTAATTTATTTCTGGTTTTTTGCAAAATAATGATTTATTTATCTAAAATTAGCTTGGGAATTGAATCGATTTCGTCTTTTCCTGGCAATGATTATTGATTGGAAATGTTTTTATTGGAATATTTCCTATGGAAATTTTATGGAGAAGGGATAAGCAAATTTTCAGTAAGGCGAAAGTCAGTGGTTGGACTTTTGCCATCCGATAAAACTGTTATAGAAAATTCTGCGTGCTGCTGACGATTCGCTCTATTTCTATCGTCGAATAACTCCCTTGCAAAAGTTTTAATAGCCAGCGGAGCCGATCACTGCCAGTATTGATGAGCCATTTTAACATTTCATTCAAAGATTTATAGATTTTTCCAAGTTTTTATTTTTGAAAGTGGTGTTTATTTGTTTAAAAGGCTGGGAAAGATTTTTGAGTTGATGATGACATTTGACGGGGTTGTGGCCTTGATGATGGATCAAACACCTTGGAGGTGAGGTTATGACCTTGGCGCAGTCGAGACCTTGGAGGTGAGGTCGCAGTCTTGCTGACAAAATCGAAACCTTGAAGGCAAAACGGTGGCCTTGGTGATGATATCGAAACCTTGGAGATGATCTTATTGCAAAATGCTAGCTTTCCTTGGTTTGGATTTCGGTTATAACATTGAAGTGGAAATATAACGAAAGCAATTTTTCTTTGTTGTAGTCTTATTTTAAATTTTGAAATTATTTAAATAATGGCAACCAAACCTTTAGCCTTTCATCAGATTTCCGTATTTTCATTCAAATTTGATCGCATTGATAACATCTGCCTTATCAGTAATATGAAAATATTTATTCGATGAATCTTCTTTTTTCAAATTGACTATCAAAAATAAAAACATCCGCCATTTGTCATATTATATCTGTCAATATTCATCGACAGTGTTTTGGTTCATAATCGTATTTATCATTTATTTTAACTTAGTCGAGACTGGACAGCGATCCAGATTATTGCATTGAGAGGCATGGTCCCTGTTTCCGGCGGAAGTAAAACGAGCCGTTAAAAATTCCAGACGTTGCTGGCAAACCACTTCCTCCAAGTGGCTCTCTTTCAAAAATTTTGACCGTATTAACAAGCAGCGTAAACAGAAATGCCGAACGCTTGCTAAGCCTTTTCAAAAATTTTTGAATTTTTCTTCGCTACCGTTAGTCACCATTAATGTCAATCTTTTCATTTTCTTTTTAGTGCGTCAATTTTGGGAAATTTCTTTCCCTTTTTAAATTAAAATTATTCGAAAAAAATCAAATAAATTGAATTTTTTTTGAATTTATTAGAAAGAGAAGAGAAAAAATTCAATTATTTTGTTTTAAATAGTTAAAATAGTTTATGGTTTTTTATTTAATTAATATTTTTCTTCCCCTTTAAAATTGAAAAAGTTGCTTATTTTTTTTGTATTCTATTCGCTGTGTAAATGAAAACCTTCATTTTTACTGAAAAATTCTTCGAATACAAATAAAAGGAAAAAAGAAAACCGGAAAATATCTCTCATTGATTATGAACGATAAAATTTTGTGACACATTAGCGAGAAATCTTTTTAGTGATTTTATCCATTAAGTATTGTTCGCTTTTTCTTAATCATTATGTCTAACTTCCTCGGTTCATCGGATTATCAGTTATTATCAATGACTTTTTTGTTTTAGATTAACGTCCTAGCTCGTTTATTGCAAGCGAGTTCGACCTTCGACCTTCAATTATTCGTCTTCCTCAAATATCACCACTTTTAATTTGGTTGATTATTACCAAAGAGTCGCTTGGAAATAGAGACACTGTTTATCCGTCGCCATCGCCCTCACGGTATTATTATTATTAGCATTTATGAGACGACCAAGAATAATTGGTTGTCTCAACTGTAAAGAAAGTAACAATTTTTCCATTTCTTTTCCCCTTAAAAGGGGATTTTTCAATAAAATCATGCATAACAACGACATTATTTTCGGATTCAAAAAAGAATTCAATAAGTAATGAAACGATAAATAAGAAAGATAAACTTCGAAGTCGAAGTAGTTCACGTTCATCATCACGTTTATCACCAAAACGAAAAGCTCATTCTAAAGATTTCAAACCATCGCAGAATGTGCTTACCACCACAGCAACGACGACAAACAGGTCAAGTCGTAAAGGACTTGACCTTTCACCCGCGATGCTTGAATTTTTCAGCGGCAAATCATCGTTTGGTCCAAGTTCATGTTTCGAATTTCATTCAAATAATGACATCGCCTCCGCACAACAAAACTCTAAAGATTTAAAAGTTCTGGAAGAATGCAACCCGGGTCCAGAAAATTTCGATGAACTAAGATGGGATTTGTCATTAAATCGTCGAAATCCAAATAAATTCGTCTCGAATATACACGCATTTTCTTCAACGAAAATGAATCGTCATTTAAAAACAAATCACCTATTCGAGAAAAAATCGGGTCAACCCGGTCCAGAAATTTCTGATGATTCGCTTGATTTCGGATCGAGAAATATCGTGAAAAATGAAGAGAAAGATGAATGTGAGAGGAAATTACGAGAAACGAATGGCTTAATGAGAACGAAAAGGGATTCAGAGAAAATTCAAAATCTTTTTACAGCGAATAATAATCGACATAATAGCGGTCGCAATTGTCGTAGTGGCGGTGGCGGTGTTGTTGAAGAGATTTGCAAACAAAGGGAAAATTTGGTGAATATTGAAGGTGGCCATTCATTTCAAATGATTCTTATACGTGGTGCACAAATCGTTAACGATGATTCGATGTTTTTTGCCGACGTTCTTATTGAACAGCAATTTATCAAGTTTGCTTTTGTAATTATCTTTTTTTATCAATTTATCAATAAATTAACCAAATTCTGCGAAAATTTTTTTCACATCTTTAGCCACTGATGAATTTTATTAAAAAATTCCACTTTAAATTTTTATTTTTTTGGAAATTTTCTTGGGAAAAAAAGAAAAAAATTATAAACAACTGGAGATCGTTTAATTGGAAAAATTTTTCTTTAGTAAGTTAAATGGAATGGTTTTAAATGATTTCTAAAAAAAAATTTTCAAATAAACATGAAATAACTTCCATTTTTAGTTGAAAATCGGCAAATTTTGCTCATTATGTATTGATTTGCACTAAAAATCGATTGTATTATTTCATGTATACATATGTATACATATGTGTGCATGTGTATGGCTGGCTAGCCGGCTAATTGCATTTCATTGCATTATTTTTTATTCGAAAGGGAAAAAATTCATTTGAAAGAGAATTTTCATATCTCACATTGTTCTTAAAAAATTTGCTTAAAAGCAAATTAATTATAAAAAATGGTTTATGTCGGAAAAGGAAAATGGAAATTTAATATAATCAAAAATTTTTGCAAAATTAAAAAATATAAAAAATTTTTAATATAAAATTAAAATAAAATTTTGTAAAAATTTTTCAAAGACTTTTCTTAACTTTTAACTTTTCTTTTTCTGCATTAAAAAGAAAAATATTTTTTTACTTTTATGTCAAATTTATTTGATAATTTAATTATATTTAATTTAAAATTATATAAAATAAAAGAAAAAAATTAAATAGACTTGAAAAAAGAAATAGTGTGTGGAAAATTCGATTTTAGTGAGGAAATGAAAAATGTATAAGGATCGAATTTTCATTCAATTTTATAAAAATAAATTTCTTATAAAAAAATTTAGAAAAAATAAATCATCGATTATTCGAAGTTGCATAGAATCACAAATATTGTGATTTTTTCATTTAGCATTCTTTTTCTAATAGCTTACACCATTGCTGGTTTGATTAGTTCCTTTGGTGACTAGGGCAAAAGGTTTTAAGCCTTGTGTTATGCCATTAAATTAGAAAAAAGGCATAAATCAATTTTTAAATTTTTGAGATTTTTAGATTTTTAAGGCAAGTATAATTTAAAAAAAATTTTTTTTTAAAGGCAAGTATCGCCATCAATTGAAGTCGAAAGTGGTGTTAAAATTATCGATGGAACTGGTAAATTACTGATGCCAGCTGGTATTGATGTACACACACAGTTTAATGCATCTGATTCGGTTGATGATTTTTCAGTTGGATCAAAAGCTGCATTAGCTGGTGGAACGGCAACCGTATGCTTTTATTTTTTTAATCAACAAACGATTGAGTTGAATCTTTTACTGAAACGAAAAAGAGCAAATAATATGGATTTGATTATTATCAGTTGTTAGCAGTGAACATAGATGGGATTAAGGTGAATACAGAAAAACTACTTGTATTTCTACCATTATTAGTGTTATTCTGTCTTATAGTTAATGGAGTCAGCCAGAAATTAAAAATGGTACAATTGTCCGAAGAATATCAAAAGAAATTGATTAACTGGATTTTGTCAAAATTACTTTACTATTATGCAATCCCCTGTGGATAGTATGTGTCCTCGGTCATTCTACCAAGGCTTTGGGGGGATTCTGCGTGGTATAACTGTTCCTAACAGTATACTACTGTGGGTAGAGATGTTTATGTTGTTCCTGGAATCTCTTAAGGTTTTTATGAGTCGCAAGTCCTCATAGCACCATTTGATTACTATTCTAGCTTTCTTTTTCTACATCTCTATTTCCTCTTTTAGTCCCTTGTTTTCCTTAAGTTTCTTATATAGGTATATATTTTTTTTCTTTTATATTTTTTCTTTCTAATATTCCCGTCGCTTGGTATTGCTGTATCTACCACCATCGCTAATTTCTGGTTCTTATCTACTGCCACGACATTTGGTTGATTAGCCAGTATTTGTGTTTATCTATTTGGATGGAGAATTCCTACAAAACTTCGCCTTCCTCCACGATTTTCTCTGGGATCTCGGAACTGATCCTGAAAGGATCTAAGCTATATACTGAGCAGTTATTACTGTAGATGATGCTAGCTATAGTTGTGCCTTCAGTGTTCCTGCGTGCATCCTTTCTCCATGTGTTGGACTATTTCTAAAAGGCACACAATCACCTGTTTATTGTCGTAGATTTGTGATTCAATGGATCTGTTGCTCAGTACCCTTTCTGCTTCTATGACCATGATGCTATCGTTGATCCTATCTTTTAATCTAGCTTTTTCAAACCACTGGTAGGATTTTTTTGGCCTTTACTTCTGTACTATGTCTCCTTATCTTGGCGGCTAATGCTCTAATCAATTGTTTAGTAATCTCTAGAGCATTTCATGAAATGTTTCCTCTCCGTTTTAATAGTCCTATTCTTCCACATTCTTCTGTAGTTCTACCAGCTGATGAATTTTTCTATCTTATGCTCGATATCAGTCGAGAAGGAGTGCACTGATAGGAGCAGCTAAGACACAAAAACTCCCAAGTTCCAGACCGAGTTGAGGATGATCCATCCCCTCCACAGGAGATGAGAAAGAGATTTTTATTATAATTTTTATTTTTTTAAAGTTTCATATTTTATTCGAAAAAATAAGATTTAAAAATTAGAATTTCATTGATAGTGAAATTATAGATAATCGATGTGATAATACCAACAACAAACGAATCACTTCTTGCTGCATTTGATCGTTATTATAAATTGGCTGAATCAATATCGCTATGTAATTTCGCGTTTAGTGTTGTTTTATCAAACTGGAAAGATTCCGTTAAAAAAGAAATGGAAATATTGGTTGGTACGAAAGGAATTAATAGTTTTATACTGGATTTTAGCGATGATGATTTACTTTTTGAGGTTTATTTTTTATTTTAATAGTTCTTTTTTACTCTTATTATTTATTTGTTTAAAGAAGATCAAACAAAGCAATTTGTCATAATATTAATAACGATATAGAATATTAACATAATACAAGAGCTAATTTTAAAAAAATGTACTATTCATAGATGATTTTAGGATGTGTTTATGCCATTAATTTTTTTGATAAGTCCATCTAAAACTTGATAATAATGGTACAAACTGCTTCAGTACACAATTTATTCCAGCATTTAATATAAAAAATTTATATGAAATTTATAATTTATGTAAAAATTTAAATAATAAAAATTGTTTATTATTATACTGTATTATTATCATTACTGTTATTATTAATACATATATTATTAATAATTGATTATCTCTATTAATTATTATTATCTACCTACCATTAAATATTATTATTGGTTTTTTATTATTATTCTTATTACTATTGTTAATACTATTAATACTATTTTTCAATTTTATTTATTATCTTTATTGCTGTTATTATTATTGCTACTACTACGCTTTTTATTTCATCATTGTTTTTACTATTACTATTATACTAATTATTGATATAAAAATTGCATTAAAAGCAAGTTTTAAACTACCCACCACTGTTACTAATGCAATTTAAGTGGTAAATAAAATTTGTGTTGCAATTCGATAATCTTCAATTATAAGCAATTATTGACAGATGTTCATAATTATCAAAATAATTGTTTGGAAGAACTGACTTTTGCATTTATCGAAAAGTATTGAGAATTTAGCAAATCATTTGGGAAGATTAGAAATTTTTTAATGGAGGGGTCAAATTATTCTCTATAATCATAAAATATAATAAGTTATGCGTGTTCGCAATTTTTTATTTTAAAAAATGCAAGAAGTTTGAAGATTAAAGCAATTAAAATGAATTTTGCAGGCATTTGAGTATTGTAAAAGTATTGGGGCTCATGCTCGAGTTCTTCCAGAAAATCGGAAAATTGTTGCTCTTCTTGAAAAGAAAATGCAATCGCGAGACCTGTCAACACATTATAATATGCAATGTCGGCAAGAAATAGTAAGTTCAATTTCTCTAAAAAACAATTTTGTAAAAAACATCTTTTTTGTTCTTTATTTCTTGTTTTCTTGTTTTTTTATTTATTTCAACAAGTGAACAAAGGCAAAAACCTTTGTGTTGGCACGAAAAGCAATTTAAAAGTGTTATGAAAAAGCATTTTAGGAGAATATCGTATTTTATAATTTATAATTTCATTCCATTCATTGCTAAATTCATTATAGTAATTCGTGGAATATGAACTTTTTGATGTGATTTTTATTTATTTATTTATTTAGAAAAAGATGAAAATTGCAAAATAACCAATTTAACTTTTAGTTAGAAGGTGAAATGATTAATCGGATTGCTGTATTAAGTCAGTTAACCGACTGCCCTGTTGGAATTTTATCGCTTTCTATGAAATCAGCAAAAAATAGATTGCGTCAAAGAGGCATTCAATCAATTGTTTATCCAGAGGTTAACTTTTTGACCTTCTGCATTGTCAGATATATTGGTCATCACAAAATTTAAGAAAAAAAATTTTGTGATTTTACAGAGAGAATTATTTTAGGTATCGATTACTACATTTGATCATGGTTCGACTTCTAAGGAATCTTCAGGAATAGATGATTCTGAACTTGTCGAAAGCATTTCTAAGTTTGTGTACATTAAATTTAATAGAGTTTTTTAAATAAAATAAGTGTGGTGAAAGGTAGTGATTTATTGATGGTATGAGTGGCCTAATATTTTTGCAACATTTCATTCAAAAATAAAATTTACGTATTTTTAAGCTGTTACATTATAATTTATATCTTTTTCAGTTCGTATCTGTGTACTTGTGTATCTGATCATCATGCAACTAGTAATAGATCAAGTGGTAACTACAAAATGTCTAGTAAGCCGGCAGTTGAAGAACGGATGAGCGTTTTATGGGAGAAGACAGTCCATGTCGGGAAAATGGATCCGATGCGATTCGTTGCTGTGACTAGTAGCAATGCTGCCAAAATATTTAATCTCTATCCTAGAAAGGTTTTTTAATTTTACTTCGCAAAAATTGTCGAAGTCAATTCTAAATATTTTTACTAAATATTGAGATGTTGTCATTCCAAATTGTTTTCTGTATATATCAGTTTCTGTGCATATCAATTTCAGTCTTTCGGTTAATATTTTTCTATATATATTTTAATTTCAGGGACGAATTGCTGTAGGTGCTGATGCTGATATTGTACTCTGGGATCCAGCTAGAATGCGTAAATTCAACTGTCAAGGTCAACAATCTAAAAGTCCCACTTGTTTCTTCGATTCATTCACGGCATCAGCTTCTCCTGTGTTAACAATATGTGGTGGGCGATTAGCTTACCATGAAAATAAGGTTTCTTTTTCTCCGTATTCGCTAGAAAAATTAAAACGAGCACGAAAAATTTTTTTGATCAATAGTGGTTTCTTATTAATAGGAATTTTTTTTTGGCTTCAATTTTTTTTCTTAAAAAAAATTATCGAAAATCGTCAGTAGGATCTATAATTTGAATTAGTTAATTAAAGATCCTGATTATGACAATTGGTTATTTCTTATAAATTTGTTTACAATAGCTTAATAGTCCAGTTAAGCTCGAAATAATTTGCTCTTAATTCAGTTTAACGCAGAGCTGGGAACATTTATTTATCTTCTGCCGAATTCGCCTTATTTGTTCTATCTTGTACAGCAAAGAGGAAGGGTTCGTCGCTTTGTTTTTTTTTAATCTCTATTGTTTTTTGAGGAATTATCTTAGATATATTTATTCGTTTCCGTTCTCAATGTTTTATAAAGGGTTGATAAATAAAATCAATTTAGGCTAGAGATGGTGATAAGGTTATGCGGAAAGGTGCTTTTGATTCAGATCAGCAGGTTGAAAATCGTCATGACTCGCGTCCAATAAACCCGAAACTAAGTAATCGGAATCAGTTTGAGTCAAATTTCTCAGTTACCGGTTTGTCACTTTTTATTTTCAATATTTTATTTATTATATAATTTATTCTTTTTTCAACCTCACCAAATATGCAGATATATTTATTTATTTCAACATTACTGGGATCCAGCTAGAATAAATATTACATGAACCAAGCAGGTAGAAAATTCATGTGGTGTGAATGAGCTAAAAAGTAAAATAAAAAGCAATAAAAAATGGTTATTGAATTAGACAAAATATTTTTTGGAATAAATTGTAGTTGTTTTAGGTGCTCAGTCGGATGATGCCAAAGGTATTCGTGCATCGACCAAAGTTATTAATCCACCTGGTGGCCGTTCATCAGGATTTTGGTAAATGCGAAGAAATAATTTTCTAAAATCTATTTAGTGAAATTTTCATCAATATTGAAGATTTTATCAGTAATGTGTTTGCAACATATCCGGCGATTTATACTTGAGAAATATCGGCGGAGTATATCGAAATATCGCATAAGCCTGCCTAATATTTTACTTGATTAAGGAAAGAATCTCGCCCAATAGCTTATTGTCTTAACTGTTTTATTTTATTTTTTATTGTTTTCTTATCTCGAAAATATTTTTAAAAATTTATAACTTTTAGAAAATAAGAATAAAATAATTGATTTGAAAATTCAAGAATTTTAAAAACATTTATTCGTTAAGTAAAGCTGTGCATAAGTTTGATGAAAAGGTAATTTCTTCATAAAAATTGCAGTAGATGAATAGATTTTTCATTAACAAATTAAGATAAATATAAAGTAGAAATGGGTTCATGAGTTCTTTTGCAAACATTGGATAGTTTAAAGTGAATGATAATAATTTCGTCCATTTTTTTCAAAAAATATTAATTATATTATTAATTGCTTTCACCATATTTTTATTTCTTTTGGTAAACGATTTTCTTTTTATCACTTCGGTTTTAAATATTATATAATTTTTCTTATTGCTTTCTGTAATAAATGATTATTTTTCTTATTTTTACAGTCGAAATGAAAGGTAAATGTAGAAAAGTTTTAAATTTATCATTTCATTTCTTTCGTATACTGCCAAATTTCGCAGACCATTCCTACCAATATCGCAGCTATAAATTTATGTTTACAAAAAAAAGAATTCACAACTTACAAAAGGCTATTACGATGAAGGAGGGTAGGGGGAGGAATATGGCAGAAATTGGAGGGTTTTAAGAGAGAATTATAAGGCTTATAAAATATAGGTGCTGGTGGGGTATGACGGGTTGAGGAAATATCAAAGAGTGACTTTTTTATCGACTTGCTTTGCTCTTTCGGACCACTTTGCATTGTTTCAAACATCACCATCTAGAGTCACCTATATTTCGCTACTTTTTCGCTTGCTCCATGAATATGGTGCTAAAAAGTGGGTTTCCATCAAATGAAATACATTTGATTTGCAATTAAAAATTTTTCTTTTTCCCATTTCCAATTTCAGCTCAGCGAAAATATAATTTACATCAAAAGAACAATTCGTTGAGCAATTTTTTATTTATTTCTTTTATTTATTTTTATTAATTTATTTTTTTTATTTATTTCTTTTGCAAATGAACGCACTATATACATTCTAATATACGGTTTAAACTGTATGCATAAACTATAAAAATTCGTGAAACTTTCGCTAAATTTCTTGGAAATGAAGAACAACAACTCGATTTGCATTGAAATGCATCATAATTCTTCCACCATAAATAAAAATACACCAAATGAAATTTTTTTCCACAAATGCACCCGAAATTACATCAAATTTGGCAGCGCTGTCCGCGAACCAGCGCTTCCATTTTTCTGTCGCAGTTAGGAAACTGTATGAGAGAGAAATCGCGATGCTTGGCAGATATCGAAATATGTGTTGCAAATAAGAATGAATTTAACAGAAAGGAAATTTTTGAAGAGAAATTAAAGAAATGCAAACCGTTCGAGTAATGGTTCAAAGCAAAATTTTATGAAATTTTCTGCGGAGTTTGAATCGACTTTTGCCGATCATACTTAGCACGTTGCATTATAACAATCTCCTCGCAGTGCAGCAATATTTGCCGCCGACAGGAACGAATTATTTGCGACTGATTTATTGCCAATTAGCGTGTCGAAGAAGAAAAGAAAGTGGTAAGCGAAGCGCCTTTAAACGAAAAATCCTTTTAAATCCTTTTTCTCTGCTTTATACTAAACGAATAAATGTTTTAAGAATTCAAATGGGAACAAAAAAGTTTTGCCAGAAATTTTCCCCATAAATTGAATGAGTGCCTTCAAGAATAATTTAACGAAAAAATGGAGTGATTAGCGCGAATTAAATTGCAAATATAGCAGTGAAGTGGGCAATCGCAATGATAAATTTTTTAGAATTAAGCAAATAAGTGAAGTGATTTGGTTGTTTAATCAGATTTATTAGTTCTATTAGGATTGGTTTAAACGATTTTCCAGTGTAAACGATGATTTCAAAGTAATAAATATTTTTTAAAAGTTCATTAATTTAAATTATTGAAAAAACGGTTCGCTTTCACATAAAAGCGATAAATTTACTGAGAAAAAAAGCCAAAAAAGGAAATGAAGCGGGTTTTTATGAAAAATTTTTTCAACTTTTTTTCACCATAAAAACTTGAATTTTCTTCATATTTTCATCAATTTTTAACTCTAAATTTGATTGTTAATTTTTCTTTTTCTTAAATCGCCATTTGGAATTCAATTGAAAATTTTAAATATAACTCCTAATTTACTCCTCTTTTTAAAGAGCTCTCATCATCACTGGTTAAACTCGCTCCGCTGACTTGTCGCACAAGACAAATATGCCAGGGAGTCCCTTGGTGATAGAAATACAGGTGAGTCGCCAGCATCACCCCGATTACTCCTTTTTTCCTTTCAAAATCTTTTTTCTATTCGAAAATTTGTAAAACCTTTTTTTCTAAATAAGAACTAACTTGAAAAAAACACTGCCTGAATGTATAATTAGTCAAAAACGATAATTTCCAAATAATTTCAGTTTTGAACAAAAAATATTTTCTTTTGTCTTTCAGCGTTAATTCAATTAGTCTCTGCTCCTGGATTTCAATAATATTTCATATTTCTGGACTAAATTTAATTTTTTATTTATTCATGTACATTTAATAATAATTCATATTCATTTTTATGCTATTCAAATTTTTAAAAAATTTTATGCAATTTTTTAAGTATTTTAATTTTTTGAATTTTTCCTCTGTTTTGAATTTTTCTTTTTGAATTTTGAATTTAATTCAGAAATATAAAATATCAATGGAATCGTTCGAGGTGCTATAATTATTATAATATTATAATAATTATTATAATATTAATCATAATCATAATGTAATAATTACTAATTATTGATCATTATTATTTGCTAATACTAGCCATATTATTATTACTGTTATTATTACTTATTATTATTATCTGTTATTATTTTATTGTTATTATTGTACCATTATTACTATTTACTATCATTATTTATTTTATATTTTATTACTACTGTTATTATTATTTTATTATTATTTCTATTATTTTTATTATTATTAGTAAAACATTAGCATCAATTCTACCGTGCCTTTTTTCTTTTTTCACTACTATCAAATATATTCATATATATATTTTCTGTGGTTGGTAAGGATTATCCTCAACCTCGAGTACCCTATAAGAGGGTTCTGCACAGGATCTTAGTTGCAACTAGCAGTGCATTCTTCTTTATAGGGATCTCTGTTATTCCTGGAATCTGCTGGACTTTTTTAGTTTTTTAATTTTTAATTTAGGAGTTACAACTCCAAGAGCATATATATTTACATATATATTCCATTAACAAATATTTCAATATATCGCAATAATATAATAACAGCAGTGTCACCAACGGCAGAAACTGAAAAGTGCTGGAACATATAGGAAAAATTGAAAATTCAGAACACCAATCTAAAATGGCTATAAGACTTAAGAATAAGCCACTGCAATCTCCCGGTGCAGAAATCAGTTACTAATCGCAATAGCAGGTAACAGCGAAATAAATATACGAAAAGATATACAGCACCTGGTTCAGAAATGATCAACACCAACTGGCCAAAAAAATTAAGAACAAATGGACGATGAACCAATAGAGACAGGTTATCACTTAGATTAAACAAATAAAGATAAAGATGATAAATAAGGACTGCAAAGATGATGAATGACCTGTACAAGGGAACTGTTCAACTATTAGTTAATAACTTATCTACCTACAATACGATATATAGAAAATTTTATCAGGTATCATAGCACCTAAGCTGTAAAAATATATGCCATTGAATAGTGTCATAAAATGTCAAAACACTAGTTGCTATTAGATAGAGAATTTGCTCAAGTGTGATTGATTGGAGCATAGCTTGGAATGCCATCAACCATTTTCATGGATGGCATAAAGTTATATGCTAAGAGAGAATGAGGCGTTGACTCGCCCAATTTACCACAAATTTACCGTAAGGACTTTGAGATGCCATTCGAATTGGACAAGTAGTAGCAAGGAGAGGCAAAGTAATTAAGGCTAATGGAGTAGGCACATATATAGACTAGTTATAATTATCTTGTTCCACAGTTAAATAAAGAGACAAGGAAGGAATATTCTGGCACCACTGAAAAATGAGACAGATCCTGAAGATTCAGCTCAGTGAGAAAAATAAGGTCTACGCCATATGTATATGCTGCTACTCTTTCGCTACATGGAGGCTGCCAACGTGAGCAGAGAAAAATCTCCACCCCAACTCTAACATCCAAATATTCCAGCAGTAATGAAGGCGGATGGAGTTTGTTGAATATCAAAGCCAATGCCTTGAACGAAACTCGAAGTATTCAGGAACTATCAGCAAGATAGCAGCAAAGGATGAGTTGTTGAGAGAATGCCTGAACTAGATGATACGAGGAAGACCCACATCATCCACAAGAGGCTTTTTTGTATTTGCTCAAATTCATAGATAGATACACGGAGGAACCCTCCATTTTAATTTACCCATATGCAGTTTACAGTTTTTACAGTTTTTTAAAAAAGTTAAAACATTCTTTGAAGAGGCGCTGAGAATATTTCTTTATGATTCTTTTATTATATTTTGTATTCAATGAAATTCTGATTTATTCTAACGATGTTGAGAGTCAACAAATTCTAAATAAACAATTAAAGAAAATTTAAGTAAAACGACAGTAGAAAACCACTATACAACGTACAAAGGCGATGGAACCGAATCGCTGAGTTGAGCAACAAATCACCGTTAAACACGACTATTTCTCCTTTTTTTAAATCCTATTTAAAGAATAAAATTTGTTTGCTGTGTTTTTTAGAATTCACGAGTTATCACATAATTAGAAACGCTAAGACAAACGAAATTTTAATATTTTTTGAAATAATGAAATATTTTAGAATAATAACTAATTTAATAAAATATTTAATATTTGTTTAATATTAATATTTAATATTTAATATATTTGTTACAAAATTTCCAATAGAATATTAATAAATAAATTTATAAAAAAACACCTGAAAAAATATCGAAAATTTCCTTCTTTTTACGATTAATTTTGAAGATAAACAATAAATTTATTTGTAAAATTATAGCTGATTTTTGTTTATTTCATCACATTTTTGTTTTTTTTTTGCTTTGCTTTATTTTTATACAAGCATTATTCAAATGAAGAAGAAATGAATAGTTTTAGTCCGTCATGAAAACATAATGTACAATGAACAAAGGATGGGTGATAGAGATGGGCAAATGAAACTGGTATAAAATTTGTCGACTATTTACTTTGGTCGATCGCATTCCGGTTTGTATAGAAATAAATTTTTGTTCACATAAATTTACAAGTAAACCAGTTTGAGGCTATTTATTAGACTTAGAAGTCTTTTTTATAATATGATAACTCCCACAGGTCAAGTAAAGATTCGCGTTAATTGTGATAGTATATAAATATACAAATATATATTTATAAGTTTAAAATCTACAACTTAAATATATATAAAATATATATATATATATGAATTTATTTAGTAAAAATTTCTGTTTTATTTAGTAAAAATTTTTCAGTAATCTTGAAACTACAGTTTTATTTAACCACAGTTCAAAATTGAAACTTTAAAAAATCTTTAAATTGAAACTTTTAAAAAACTTTAAAAACTTTAAAAAATCTTTATTTCAAAATCTTAATTTTGTTGATATTTTGAAGAATTTCACCGATTTAAAATCTTTGCCTTACTTTTAAACATTGTTCTTCGGTTTGCTCTTGTAAAATTTTAGAATAAAAAGTAGAAAACAGGATTTAGTAATTTACAATCCTATTAACTATGCCAACTATGATCTGGTGAAATGCTTTGCTATCGATATATCTTCGTTTGCTGATATTTTAAAGAATTTCACAATTATTTGTTTGAGTTTACAATCAGTGTTAATGGCCATTTGAGCGTATTTGCGCCTCATTTTATTGCTTATTTCATAGGTATTTCATTTTATGCGGAATAACCATCGTTGAAATTGCGATTAAACTTGATTCGCCAATTTTTTTTATTTTATTTCTTTATTTTTTTATTGATATAATTTTTATTAAATTTATGGAATCCGCTTTTTTTGTGTCGAATCTTCTCAAAAACAAATAGAAAATTAGTTATTTTTTTCATTATTATTTTTTAATACAATGTAGTTTCTCTCTGATATTTCATAATTCAGCGATGCGATTTAAATTTGTACAGAAAAATTTTTGAAAAGTATAAAAACAAGATTTTCATGGCGATGAATCAGTGAATTCAACTATAATATATTATATTTTATAAGAGATATTTATTTATAAAAGATATCGTTTTTCCGCAAATTTTTCTTTCCAAAAGCTCTCTTTTACATATTTTAATTTGGAATTTTGACACGAATAACACACACGAATATCATAATTTAATGAAAATGCTTTTTTAATTATTCCTTCGTTTAAAAAATGAAATGAGGCGAAAAGTTTTATATTTGAGCTGAATTCGCTTTTTTCATCAATATAATGTCTGAACAGCCGAGTTGCAGTTGCTCGCGTTAATCGCAGGATTCGAATTCGAATTGCATCCGATAGAAATAAATTTCGAAAAATTAGAAAGTTGCTGCTGGCAAGCCGTACTTATTTCGCCACCAGAAACTGCCTCTTTCGCAGATTCCTAACCATAAACGAAGCTAAGCTTATACGAAGCTAAGCTTATACGAAGCTAAGCAGAAATAGTAAGCACTCACTAAGCGTTTTATTTACTTTGCTTACTCATAATGGTAATGGTAAATAATGGGAAATAAATAGCAAATCTCCTAAAAGTTGAGAATCGTTTGGAAATTCCAAAAATTATTTAACAACATTTTTAATAAATATTGAGCAAGCAATATCAAAGAGTAAATTAATTTATCGATTTAAACGAGTTTGTATTTTCAATTTATAAAATTTCAATTATGAGAAAAAAATAAAGCTTTTACTATTTCTGGTTGGATTAATTGCTGGCTGTTACTTCGATCAGAAATTTTTAGAGAATCATTTGGCTAAAAACATAAACATAATAGGCTTAATAGGCCGCCGGCAGAATAGGCATTGGCGACAGGCATGTAGATGAGCCTTCTCTCGAATAAATTCGTTGCGAAGAATTATTTTTATGAAACTGTCATCGTAGGCGATTATTGTTTCGATTGCCAGCACACGTTCATCAAAACCACTGTTTATAAATATTTGTCAATTATCAATTCGCTAATGACGATTTTCAGGTTTCAAGGCAATCCATTGTTAGCTGAATGGATTTACCAGTAAAAATAAGGCGAAAATGATGATATCTATAACATTTTTTCGAAACTTTTTATTATTTATCTCAACTGGTGAGAGAGTTTATTCAGTAGCCATTTTAATGCTTTTTGCACTATTTTTTTAAAAATTCTATAGCTTAGAATGAAAAAACTTCAAAAATCGAGAGAAAAGTTTGGAAGTGAAAAATCTAAGGGAGCCCATCACTCTTAGTCCCTCTGCTGGTTTATCGAACAATGTAAACTTTACTGGGAAAACATTTGGCAATAGAAGGACGGCGAGTTCCTAGCAGCACTTGGATTTCTGAATGACAATTTTAAACCCCAGCATCAGCGCTCCGAAATGACAGTCCATTAAGCCATTTTATCCCTCAAAATTTCTTCTTTGTAATCTAAGAATTACATATGAGAAATGAACTATTAGTGACTAAAATTACTTCAATAGATACCAATCTACATTTGTTTATTATTATTTAAAATTGAATCCACATAATTTTAAATTTAAAATTTGTCTGAAAAAATCACGAACAAACTAGTAAATCTGTTCGAAATCCATATAAATTATATTTAATTAATTAAATATTAAATGCATGTATATTTAAATTACAGTATCAATAAGCGCAGAAATTTATTCTAAACCAGAAGAGGGCAATCAGCAGATGGACGGTAAAATATCTGTTAATAATTATTCGCCAAACAACAATATTCGTTTAATTTAATCAAATTCAACCTTTTTTTACTTTTTCGCTGATAAATTCCTTAATGAGGCACTTTTATCGTAAATAATCACTAATATTTAGAATAATTTTGACAATCAATTGGTTGCCAAACAATTGCAATTGAGTGTCTCAAGTTAAATATTCGGCTATTTAGTAATTTTTTTTCGAAATTTTTATGAGAAAATGAGAAAATTTTCAGGTACAACAATTCTAAACGAAGAAGATTTTATAAATGGAATGTTAATTAATAAAAACAAAAATGGTTTATTGATTATTATTATATTTATATAAAATAATAACTAATTTTTCCACAATAAGCTTCTTCGTATAATAAAATTCAATTAAACAAATGATTTATAATTTAGCAAAAAATACATCCATTAAACGAATTACTTACTGACAAAAAATTAACGAATTTTTCGATGACTTTTAAAATAAAAAGTAAATTTTTGAAGTGGGAAATTTTCCATTCTGCAAGCCTCAATTTTCTGACTATACATTGATAATATTACTCATAATACTTATTTATCAATTGTTCATAAAATAAACAAATTATAGCAAAATCAGCTCGAATTTTGCCTCAACAGCGATATTATAAAGGAGATCTACATGGGAAAGCAGCATGGCTATCAGTTAATATTTTTATATTTATGGAAAAATTTGGAAATTATCCTCTAAATTTTGTAAATCGAACTAAGATAGACATAAAATAAATTGTAATTTGGAAGCAAAAAGCCATAAAATACTGTAATTTATATTACGAAAAACTATTGTATTGCAAAACAAGTTGAAATAAATAGTAAAACAAAAGTTTCTGGCAATATTTAATGAAAAATATCAAAATATTAGAGTATTTTGAAATAATTTTTCTGCTTCCAAGTTCATTTATTTTTCAAATATTGAAATTGAAATTTAAATTATTTGGGAAATGAAAAAGGATTTTATTTCTTTTTAAGAGAAGGAGACAAGGAATTCGAAGAAATGGAGTAATCAGCGTTTTTAAAAAATGGCCAAATGCTCGAATACCGTATGTTATATCAACGCAATATAATAAAGAGGAAAGAGCAGTAAGCAAATTATTGCTATTGTTTTCACCATTCTTTTTTTTCTAACCATTACTCTCACCATTACTGGTTAGGCTGGCTCCAGTGGCTACCAGGGGTAAGACGCTTCCAAGCAGCGCGGTCTGATTCCATCGACAGTAATAGAAGCCATTCCTTTTTACATCATCTAAGTCCATATACTGCTGGTCCACCTAGACGTTCAAAACCTTTCCTGACCGTATCAGTCCAAGTCTTGATTGGCCCACCTCGCTTTTAAAGCCAACCATCACACGGTTTAGCAAGTAACGAAATATGCGACAACTCTTGTGGTTGACGACGGAGAACGTGACCTAACTCACGAAGGCGACGCTCTGTAACATTATTATAATATGTGATAACAATATTAACAAAGGTAGTGTTTGAACGAAGGTGGATGCGAACATGTGATATTTTATCTGCTCCACGCACCGGTAAAATATACCTTAGACAAGAGTGGTCGAAAGTAGATAGCTTCTTAATATCTTCCACTCTCATTGGCTATGTCTCAGAACCATATCGCAAGATCGAACGAATCACGGCTATATAGATGCGCACTCTCGTTTTAATGGTAATTTCACGGCGGCTCCATAAAGGTTTCGTCAATCGGAAGAACGCATTTCTAGCTGCCGTGATCCGGGCTATAATTTCGTCTTTTGTCTGGCCATTTGGTATTAGAGTGGATCCAAGGTATTTAAAATCGGGCACTTTCTCAACCGGCAATGGGTTTATAAAAAGAAGCATTTATAACTTCTTGTACATAAGACGAAAAGACTTTCGTTTTATATATATTGATCTTGAGTCCCGTTCTTGCTGCAGTTTCTGACACGTTATTTAGCATTCATCAAAGATAACGATTTAATAAACTACCTATTGCTCGACAAGAATGATGGGGAACAATAGCGTCTGCAAGTCCTCTACAAGCCTTTTATGCTATCCTTCCTCGGCATGTGTTGAACTGCACTAACTGCACTAACTATACTTCCTCGTTATCATAAGATTAACAACCTTATCAACTCAACAACTTTAATCCCTCAATCCTTTTTCCATAGAAATCTTGGTTCTTCTTAATGTAAGACCTGTTGTCTTCTTTACTTGATATCTTTATTATCACCACTCTCCAAGCCTATTATATAATTATTTTGGCGGAAAAATTATGAATTCATAGGTCGCAGACCTCTACTAACCTCTTAATCTTCTTGTCATCTTTTCCTCGTTTAACTTCTAATATCGTACACTGTTGCTATTTAAGCTTCCATCTCTCCTCACTAAGGTCTCTAATATCCAAACCTGGTATTCCATACTGACTCATCACTCTATCGCCAAATGAATCTTAGGCAAAAATTTCAAATCGTACTAACAGCCAGCCAAAAATAGCGAGCGCAACTTATCTCTTAGAGCCACACTACTCCAATAATTCTTTAGTCCAACTGTAGTGCATCTAATTTCCACAAGTTATTCTTCTGGCTCGATAATTAAGATAGTAGGGTGGTTGGTGCAAAGGTACTGTGAAGAATGTCAATTTGTCTTTCTTACTTTCTTGCTATAAATAAAATACGGTTTAGATAATAGCGAGAGCATTTGATGAATACCATTTACGTACATGCATAAGATTTGCACCTCGAACGCTTTACGATCAAGACTATTTGTATATTGGCAAAATTGATGGGTCAGTTTGCAATCATTCAAATTTTTTTTCATATCATAGATAATTCCTGAACATTTTATTGGACTTCTTTTTTTAAGTGGCGCGAAATAATAGGAATTAACATGATAATTGCACTTTTTATCGAGTAAGGCTTAAAAAATGAAATTAAATATTAAATGTAGAAATTCTTTATGGTGATTTCAGATGTTATTCGGACGTAGGACGCGCAGGTGGACGCCAAGAAGTATCATTAGACGAAGGCTGCTTGGAATACGATACAGCTATTCATGAACTCATGCATTCAGTTGGCTTTTATCACGAGCACGAGCGATGGGACCGCGATAATCATATTACAATTTTATGGTCGAATATAGATCGAGGTTGATTTTTAATCTAGGACTTTTATCTTTCTCTTAGGCACAATACTGTGATTTTTCCAAACGAGTAAAAGAAAGCAACAAGATTTAGACGCTTATGATCAATTCGGTAAAACAGATTTCACGAAAAGTTCTCCTTATGGACAACCTTACGATTATTTTTCAATTCTTCATTACGACAGTTTTGCATTTAGTAAAAACGGATTGGAAACTTTAGTAGCTAAAAGGTATTAAATATTCAAAAAATTAATCAAACGTCCATTGATACTTATTATATTTTCACAACTTTTTCGCTTCATTTATCCACTATTAATAGCGATTTTATCTATTTTAAAATCTATCAGCTTTTTTAACAATGTTATCACTATTTTCGTAATTTAATCAATCGACATTTTTAGAACTTAGAATTTAACAGAAAATAAAACTAGCATAGAAGGTTTGAAACATGAAATAACGACATTTAAAGGCAATCGTTGCGGTAGAAAAAATAAATATTTGTAAAATGGATTCAGTATTTAAGACCAGATATGACTCGAGTAATGGGAAAGGCAAATGATTTCTCTGTAATCGATATTGAAAAAATCAATCGAATGTACTCGTGCTATCAGCAACCAAATAATCTACAACCTCAGCCATTACAACCTGTTAAGCCTTGGTTGGTACCAAGGCCATTTCCTCAACAACCATATCTTCCTCCCATACAAGAAATCGTCGACGAAGGTTTTTCTCATTTTTCATTTCTTATATTTCTTTCTTCATTTTACATGTCTAAATTTTGCCTTAATGATTTCAGTTTGCGAAGACCAATCGTCAGCTTGTCATAACTGGCTTGACCTTTGTCATTCACCTATACATGAAGCTGAAATGAGGAAAATATGTGCTAAATCCTGTTGGTTTTGTGCTTCGCCAGTGATCGATGAAATTCGTCCATTTAGTCCAATAAATTCACCACCAACTCATTATTTTTTGGATAGGAGAAATTTCTGGTTTTCAAAAATAAATCCAAGATCTTTTTACCTGCAATTATGAAATTTCAAATTGATTTGTATTTAGGAGCCAATATTTTATTTTCATTGTTTCCAGTGATTCTCAAATGAATAATATTGTTAAAATTATTATTTATTAAACAATTTACAAATATACATGACTGAAGGATAGTTTTTCGTAGCGTGAAAAATGTTGCCTGAAAACTAAAATGACAATTACATGGTCCGTAGTCAATCGCTCTATAACACTGATAACAGAGCAAAAGGCAGATAAAGCAAAAAGCATGCAAGCAAGGATGGCCATGCGATGACTTCCAGCAAAATACCATAAGCAAATCAAATCAATTTACAATATTTTTATAATTTTGCTATATTCGCAAATAGGGTATAGTGATATGTTTGGAAAATAAGGTAAACAGCGAGATCTCGGCCTATAAATTGAAATCCATTCTTTTCACCTTCGTTATTTACCTTTACCAATCCATGGTACTTCCCCGAACTCCATTAACAATATCCCTCTCATAAATCCCTTTACGTTAATTACCTTAATCACCCCCATATGCATTTATGCAAATATGCATTTTTGTTATTTCCACATAATAAACCATCCGATAAATCCTACTGATACTCTCTAAAACAGAGATGCTCTAATTGATTTTCCAAAACCACATTATACTAGTTGTCCTAGTCTCCTAACAATACTCCGTTTTCTTTAGGCACCGTTATGCCTTTTTCATGTTGTCTCAAATCGTGTCATATTTTCGTCTAATCTCGTCACTAATCCCACCGAATTTCTATTTTCTTCTAAAAAGTGCTTTTCATTTTTTGGCTTTTTTCTGCTTGTTATTGTAATCCTATAATGCACTAAGATTCTCTCGTGCGAAAGGAAATTAAAGAGAGTGGGGAGGGGGAGGGGGGGAAGGGGGAGGTGATTGGTAACGAAAGGCGATAAAAATTAGTGGCAAGAAACTGGAAGTTGTTCGACGAATTGAGAGGGATTTGACAGAATAAAATTGTACGAAAAAGTCCGAAGAAGTGTTGAGGGATACTAAGGGAATATAACTCGAAGACTCGAAATATTAACGAGTAAAGTCTGAACTTAACGACACCATTAAGCGAGTAAGGAAAACTTGACGATTCCAGTACGAGTCGATTTTTTGATTTCGGGATGTTGAAATTGTTTTACGCAGAGCTTCATAAAGCCGACTCATTAAGCAGATGATTCTCCTCATCGACGAATGTTTTGTTATAAATTCTAATTTTTTAGGCATAACTTATAAGATCCCCATATGAAACTAAGGAGGTACCGTTCAGTAGGAGATCGCGACGCGTATTCTTGTTACGTCGGGGACCGAGCGTAGCGTCGTGCATGCAACGTAAGACGGACGCAGCACAGGCAACGACGGCAAGACAATATAATAAATACCTACAAGTCCCAAGGGCAATACGACACGCCTCGAACGTATCCATAAGAACAGAGGCCAAAAGCACCAGTAGAAATTTACCTACACGTTGATACTGAGGAGCGCTTTTAACGAAAGAAGTTTTGTCTTCTCTGCGACTCTCCGGGTTACACAATATTTCGCCCTACGACAACTTCGCAAAGTCGGCTTGTCACGCTCACTTCACTCTCCAAAAACCCAAAAAACCACCGAAAAGAAACTTCCATTTAAATAACGTAATAGAAATATTCAGTTCACCTAGAAAATGTCGCGCAAATCACAAAACCTCCTTTCTCCCCCACGATTTTGCTGTACAAATATCAATGACGAAGAAGACCTTTAATTTTCATCGATCTGAATCTGCGCCGATTTTTAAAGTCGTTGAAAGTAGAAAAGCACTTTTTAAGTTTGCGACACGTTTGGCAATAAACGATTTATTGTTTGTTTAAGGCACTTTAGGCGTTCTTTTTGTTTCTACTTTATTATTTTATTAAAAAATATTTTAATAAATATTTTTAAAAGTTTATTGAATATTCTTTTAGTTATTTTCTATTTTAGAACGATCCAATTTCTAATCGCTTTTATTAAAAGTTCTTTAAAAAATGGTTTTATTACTACTTTTCTCGAGAAATTTTCTTCCTTAACGGTTCGCAGCACTTACTATTCCGCGGATTGCGAGGAAGCGAGGCCTAAGCGTTTCGTCGCGATGTGTGCTGCGTGCTGACTTGGCTGCCAACAAGCGGTGCGCATTATCCAATTCGTTGCACCTTCTGTTGTTTTTTGTTCCTTCCCTTTTATTTTTTCTGGTTAAAATTTTGTTAGGTTCGTGTGGAACTTCGTATGAAAATTAGTAAATTATTTTTAGTGCTTATTTATTAAATTTGAAATTATAAATTAAATTTTTCAGATTTGTTTTAAAAGGAAATTTACTTGAAAAATGGGACGAAAAAAGAAGCGAATAATTAAGCCGTGGTGTTGGTTTGTTTTTTGTTCGAAGATTTTAAGCCTAAATTTAGGAAAATATTTTTCTGAAATCTTTCTATTTATTCTATTTATTTATAATTTTCAGTCGTTTTTCTCACTTTCTTTTTAGATTATAATTTAAAACATAAATTTACATTTTTGTTATTAAACATATTTAACATTAACATTTTCGTCATGATTTATTCAAATTTATTTTTTCATTTTTTACCAAATTTTAAATTTGCCTTAATTCTGATTAAAATTTCGATTTAATTTTAACGGTTCTTTTAAAAATTTTTTAATGTGAAAAATTAACTGAAATTTTTAGGTATTGCAATCGAGAATTTGAAGATGAAAAGATCTTAATTCAGCATCAGAAAGCAAAACATTTCAAATGTCATATATGTCATAAAAAATTATTCACTGGTCCTGGTCTTGCTATTCATTGTGTACAGGTTCAGTTTCTTCTTATTTTTTCTGAGTAATACTGCGATTAGATTGTGCAGTTTAATTTGTGATGTACATTTCTGTTGTTTTTTGTTCCTTTCCTTTTATTTTTTCTGTTTAAAATTTCTAAAACTTCTTTATCTAAAAAGTTTTTTATTTATTAGAACATTAATTGTTTAATCCTTCCTTAAAAAAAAATTCAAATTTTTATTTCCAGGTTCATAAGGAAACGATTGATAAAATTCCCGGGGCCGTACCTGGTAAGGATTCAGTGGAAGTTGAGGTTTATGGCATGGAAGGTATTCCAGAAGATCCAGCAGGTATTTTTCAGATCGAGATTGATGTTTTTTCTTGTCGCACAGTTATCTTATTTCTGGAAATTTTAAGATGATGAGCCAGGTTCCAAAATATCAAAACAGGATGGCACGACAAATCCTGTGTTGCCTCCTCCAATGCCACCATTTCCAATGATGCCTCCAGGTATTTATGGATATTAATTGCAAATTGCTATCAATTAAATGTTTTTTCATTTTATTTTTCAAATTTTCAATTTTCAATTTACTTTTTTTTCGATTGGCAAGTGATTTGTTTTCACACAAATTTCGATATATTAATACTATTTATTTATTAATACTATTTATTAATACTATTCATATTAATTCTCGTCTTTTTTTCGTTAATTGTAATTTCCTTGTTAATTTTGGTAATTTTTTTTAGTTCCACCGATGATGCCTGGTTTACCTGGTTTCCCACCTATTCCTCCAGTAGCCATGCCACCATTTCCATTTATTCCACCTACTGCGATTCCTCCAAGGATGATGCCGCCTCTTCCGATGATGCCTCCTGCAACTCCACCTGTGCCCACTAGGTATTTTTATTTTTATTCGACTTCTATCGTCAAAAGAGTCGTTTTTATAGATTTTTTATTATTATTAACATCGGTTGTTCATCGGTTGTCAATGAAATTTTCCCTTTGCATACAGATCTTGAGATCTTATGTTTAAGCATACCAATTCCGAGGACAACAGTACCTAACAGCACAGTGCGGCCAGCACTTCCAGCTTGTCCGCCAGCAACTGCACCAAATGTTCCAGCTGCTTTTCCAGCTTATAGTGATCCAACTACAGCAAGACTAACTGAAGTTAAAGATTCTACAACCACTGTTCCAAAATTATGCGCTAAAATTCATATAATGCATCCGGATGAAAATATTTCCTTGGTAAACATTTTGCTGTATTTCTATACATTTTTGTTGAAGAATTCTTAAATAATATTATGCTGTGCTTTTGCATATTCGGATTACATATTCACTTACTCGATTTTTTGAATCTTATTGAATATTTTTTGAATGAAAATCTCCACAAATGAGAATGTTCCAGAAAAAGTCGAAAATTAGAAAGAAAAGATTGATCAAGAGAATTTTAATTTTGTCATACATTCTATTTACAGGAAGAAAGACGTGCTATTTCACGAGGATTGATATAAAAGTTTGTTTTCCTGGAAAGAATCAAGTTTTGCTGAAAGTAGGTGGCTTTTTGTTTTTTTTGATGATTGGGTCGTTTCACGATTGCGTTTTTGTTTTATAAAAATGCGGAAAATGGTTTATTAATTTTTGTTACATTCGTGAAACGACCCTAAAAATTTTAGCCGACGTTCGGAGACATCTTGCAGCCGAGTCATCTGCTTAGATGTATTAAGATGAACTGTTTGAATGGCTGTAGCCACTGCTCAGGTCAGCCCTACTGTTTTTACTGAGTCATATAGCCACATAAGTTTAATTTTTTCCAACTGCTTTTCTATATATGTTTTTGACCGGGGTAAGTCTTTAGGATTCGTTCTTTTTGTGTTTTCTTGGCTTTAAAGTTTAGAAATTTGTGCTATTACTTCAGTTCGAATCTTTTGTGCTGGTATACTGAGCTTCAAAAAGCGCCATAAAGGTTAGTGTGTATGCATAAAGGTTAGTGCGTTGGCGAGATAGATTTTTATAAAAACGGTTGTTCAGCCTATATTGAGTTATTCCTTGGGTCTTCCATTATCATCTTGCAATTTTGTTATGAGGCTTAAGAAATATTCCTTATTCATTTTAAATCAGGGGCATGCCGCTTCAGTTTTTAAGGCTGTTCTCATGAATTAAAGATATTATTCGAGCATGGTGTAATGTTGGTTAATATTGAAATTTAATATGGATATTAAACATTAATATTATCAGTGTGTTTTAAAATAAATTGGTTTACGAAAAATAGCTCAGTTCCCGTTCTTATTTTCATTTTTCAACTTTCATTGTTATTTTTTTAAAATATTAAAAAATCATTTGAACTTTCTAATGTCAATTAAATTTTATTAAATTAAATTTTATATCAATTAAACTTGAAGAACTTCACAGCATTAATTAAATTGCTAATTGCCATTGGCGTATATCCGACCCAATCCTATTCCTTTCGTGTACGGTTGTTCTTCAGCGGAAAAGAAGTACCTATCGTATAATTCGTATAATTTTCAACACTGAAATTTTTTTGTGTCTATCAGTCCTATGCCATATCTGAAAATAACATTTCACTTTTCCATTACCTAGATCCATATATCACTGGGTCACCTATAAGTCATCTTTTCTGGTCAGTCTAAGTCAGTCTTAATTAGGTGAGGCATCATCGTTTTTGCTATCACAAGGTAAGGTTTTATATATAAGGAGACATACGTCAACTGCTGTGATTGGCGTAATATCGCCAAATCAATACAAACGGTGTTCAAGCAATGATAAATGTTATTGTGTGAGATTGTGACCTCGTGATGAATAAGTAGGATGTACCATAAGTAAAAATAGTCAAAGGTAATTTCCTTATATTCTTCAATATTTTTGGTCATGGCAAGATTATATGCGCAGCTAGTGAATCCAAGATGTTTAAAACTTGGCGTTATCTCAGTAGATTATGGTGTTCTGCAGTAAAAAAAAGAAGAGTTTAATCTTATTTTGTTTTAAACATCCAAGTTACCGATGTAGGGTCTATTGTAACTAATTTTCAATTTTAATTTTCATCACAATTGTCAAGTATTGTATCGTCAGCTACTTGAAGGTCTATGAGACTCTTGACTCATATATTCAGCAAACATGATATACATAGTCTAATCTGCAGCATAAATGTATATCTTAGAAGGATGAACACTGTGAGGTGTGACATACGCCAGTTTTGATTCCGAAAGAATATTTTAGTTTCTCGTTCAAAGTCTTACGTTGATGTACCTTAATAAGGATAGTTTTTCTTTAACGTATTTCCAGAGCATTGCTGTAATCGAAGATTTTTTTAGTGCAAATATTTTATCAGCATTTTCCTCCCATTATCTCATGCTGCTAATTTAACAGAAATGAAGCAAAAATTTTCTCAGGTATTTCAGGTCGATTACTCGTTAATTATTAAAGTATCATCTTCTCTCTGAATTGGCAGCGGGATCGCTTTGCTCCATTCATATGAGGACTGCTGGGCTTGTATTCAATTAGGAGGTCGTCTTCTCCAGGGATTTTATTAGCCTGAAACTTCTGCATAATTATTTGTTATGTTGGCGACTGGCAGTTGCACTCATATAGCTCGAAGAGTTTTCATTTTTTTTGAGATGGCAAATCATGATTAATTTAATTCTCAACGAAATCTCTCCATTTTGAGATACGTTCTTTCAGAATTTTAAGCTGCACCTATCTTTACATTAGGTCATTTGGTCATTACGTCGAATCAATTCCACGTAGCTAGATACCTTTCCTCGCGCTGAAAGCATATACTGGTAGAAAATGGGAAGACGTCCTCTATTACTACATGGGACTTTTATGTTGTATTTGTCAAACACAGAATCCATCAGTGCATATGCCAATCTCCTCCATAATTACAGTCTTTTTGGGAGAGTTCGCAATCGAAGTTCTGCATAAACTTTTTACCATTTTTACCGTCAATTTATCTCATCTTAATTTTCAGTATTCTAATCGATATATTTCAGATTTCACGTCCGCACTGTGCTTCTTTTATAAGTGCAGTCTTCATTTCCACATTTCGCTTCAATGTTGCAGGTAACTGATATAATATAATATGATATGGTATATATATTCGGTTCAACTGTTTAAAAGTGAATATTTTTCAAATGATCGTAGAATAAATTATGATAAAATTTATTTCCCATCAACCAAAGGCGTGTCTTTCCTGGGCTGTAATTTTCGAACCTTAAATGTATTTGAGGAATTTAAGGTAACTCGCATTTGGAATAATTCGTTCTTTTATTGTTTTTACACAATTTTATTGTTTTCATTTATATTTCAGTGTATTTTTTTAATTTTAGTATATTTTTTGAATTTCTTTGAAATTGTGTTATGTTTTTGTTTTCACTATTCTTAAAAAGTTTTTGCCTTTTATATGAAGAATCTTCGTCATAATCATCTAACATGGTAATTTGTTGAATTATTCTTCAGGAATTGGATTTTTTTTCTCAATCATATTTTTTTCATTTTACTCCAAAATGATCAGTCAGACAAATTCATTAACAATTTATTTTTTAAAATAAATTAGAAATTCAAAAAAATTGGAAACCATAACAAATAAATAAAAATTATAGTTTTATCGCAGTTTCGATGGGAAATTTGTTGTTGAAATTTAATGCATGGGTAATCGACTATGACTGTGTACATATGAATATGAATAATACAAGAAGAAAAGCTAGAAAAATGTTCTAAAATTTTATTTTAATGGTAGATTTTTTGCCTAAAAGTTTCAAAGTGAAAGACTTGCAATATTTGCCAGAAGCTTTAATGTTTTTGATGTGATTCATATTATAATACAATAGGTTTAGATAACAATCGCTATTTTAAAATACGGACAAAACAGATGATTTGGCAAATATAAATCAAAAGGCAGAAATATTTGAAATAATGATAATACAAATTTTGAGCAATTATTCATCAACAAAACTAATGGTACTACCAGCTTGATTCCTCATATACCTTCTATAACGTTTGTAACGACCAGAGGCAGCGAGTTTTTGTTTCTGTTCTTCTTCTTTAACCATTTTCCATTCGTCGAATTTGGCTTTTACCCATAATTCTGCATCAAGAAAGCATAATCTTTCTTCATCCTCCAAACACTGCAAATCTTCTCTAAACCAAAAACATTGTTGTGAGGCAATAGATTAAATTTATTTGGAAAAAAACTTGATGTGGGTGGATTACGGGTCAAAAACCCTTCATCACAAAGTTTTATTTTTTTGTCGTTTAAACAACTAACAACTAACGTTAAATTGCTCTTCTGAAATTCCCATATACTTTCGAATGAGATAGAATTTCGCTTCTATATCGTAATCCTCTTTCTTTATCCAATATTTAATAATCCATTCACAATTCCAAATTATATACCTGCAACCAATCCGCATGAGAATTTCATTTTTTTAATAAGATGTTATTTGCTTAAAACTTCTCTCAAACAGAAATATTTTAATATAAAATTTCCATCAATTCGAAAAAATTCCGCAAACTTAGGTTAATAGGATAAAAAAAAAATCTCACGAAAAACCTTTTCATCAATCAAGAACAAAACATTTTTGAAGGAAATTTTTTCAAAAAAATAGAAGTCCATTCAATTTTGGCAAATGGAAAAAATTTTATTTTAATTATTTCCGGTGAAATAAGATATTTCAATAGATATATTAAAGTAAAAAGTATATAAAGATAAAGATCATTTCTTCATCGTGATCTTTAAAAGCAAAAAGCATAAAGTTTTGAAATTTCAAAAACTAAATGATTTTAGAAATTGAACACTTACTTGCAAAACGTGATAGGAGATACCAGAATGGTCCAAAAAAGTGTGTCAAAAACTGAAGGTTTCGAATATCCTCCTCTGCAACATAACAGTAAAGTTTCCAGATGAATTAACTAAATAGATCATGGCTTTTACCTAATTTTCTGAATCAAAATAGTTTTCTGAAAAAACAAATCTACCTTATATCCATATTTTCCTCAATAATTTTTCGAATTATTTGCTCCTCATTTTCCTTTCTCCACTTTTTATCTTTTATAGTTCGGTCATTTAAGACTATTCCTCTTTCATAAGCGATTTCTCGAGCACGATTCCTGTACTTTTCTTGCTTAACGGCGTATTCCAATGCTTCTTGATATTTGTGCCGAGCACTCAGAAACTGGAAATTTTAAATATAACTGCGAATATAATTTTTTAAAAGTTTCATCTTTCAAATTTCAAGAAAAAATGAAAAATGAAATGTACTGTAGAAGATTTATTCCATACCTGATATTGACAGTAAGTCATAATTTCATTATTCCATATTATATAGAATCACAGTTGCATCACAGTTTGGCGCAATCAGTCAAAAACTGAATCTTCATTATATTTTCTAGACAATATTCAAAAATTAACCTGAATTATTGAAATAATGACAATGGTGGCAACAATAACGATGCGGACGTCAACTTTAGGTGAAACTCTTCTCCTATAATATTGGTAGTAATTATACATTCGTTCTTCGGGATGATCCAAATAATAATTGTAATCATTTCGAGTTTCATCGTCTTTTAACACTTCATATGCAGTAGCAACTTTACGGAACAATTCTTCAGCATAAGCCTTTTTTTCCTGAAAAAAGTCAACTTTCTATCGTATATCGCATTAATTTTTTTTTAGTAAATTTTTATTAATACTACATTACTTTTATTAAATTTAATATAAATTTGAGATAATTTATTTTAAATCACGAAAAAATATTTGATAATTTATTTTAATTTATTTAATATGCATTCAAACACCAATTTTTGCCTTAGCTTTGCCTTATTTTGCCTTACTACGAAGCATTAGAAACGAGTAATGGCACCTTATCTTGCACTCTGTCCGGATGATACTGCATAGCCAAACGCCGGTAAATTTTTGCGAGCTCATTCTGAAAATCTACAAAAATTTACAAATTGCAGTTTTTCTGGCAATGAAACAGTGGCAAAATGTACTGACTTATCTAACGAATAATACCAGAAGGCGGCATTTTATTGGCTCAAATCGGATAAACCAAAATGCAAAAAATTCAACCTTTTTGAAATCGCCGCGATTGATTTTGAGCACTGAAAAAACGAATTTGCATAAATATTCTCTTAAAATTGTTTTTTGCAAAAATTCAAAGCGACTATCCGACGAGTCGCATGAATAGTATTTTTGCTGCCTTTAAAATATTATTTGAGATGTTTTTAAATTTCGAAATATTATTTGAATTGCCTTTTAATAATAATGCTTAAATCATTGTGAACCGACACATCGAACTCGTACAAAAATTCGGTCAAACCAATGTTTAATAGAAGAAAAAGCGAACCGTCGTAGCAGCTGTCGCCACCACAGTAAATATGCGGCACTAAGCCAGTCGACTCACATTTTGAAAATAAATTAATTAAAATAAACGAAAATAAGACGAACGCCCCACCGAAGCCATCGACAGTCCGCCACATTACTTTTATCAATTCGATGATAATTTCTGATCCGTAAAAATTAGGCACTTTGCCAAGAAAATTTTCCGCATAAGAATATTTAATTTGAAGTGATGGATTTGCCAGTTTGTAGTGATCAGCTAGATGGACAGCAGTATATTTATCGGTGAGAAGAAAGCAGATTCACAAATAGGGTGGAAGGGAAGAAACTGGGAGGGGAAATTGCTAGAAGGGGAGAACTGTGTTCAGTAGTGGGGCATTGAACATTTTCTAGCACAATGTAAAAGCGTTACCCGAGACATCCGAGCGATGCTGGCGACCCATTTAGGCTTCCATCTGCCCTCGTTGCTTTCCTGGCTAAGATTCCCAACTGAAGTGGCTAACATATATTTAGGGCCATTGAATCAAATATTTCTGAATATTTATTCTTCTAAACTATTGCTGAAATATTCATTACTGGATTCAGTAAAAGAAATACTTTTATCACAGCTCTATTAATTAAAGGAAAATTTTCTGATTTCATGACGAACGATATAAATTTAGGTTAACTTAAGTTCACATGGATTTTCATGGATTATAGTAACAAAGGTTCGACAAACAAAGGTTATGAAGTGTCGAATACAACCAACATGGATTTATTGGACAAATACTTCTCCATTCATTTCATGCAAATTCTCCGCTTCATTCACCATGTTTGCGGTGATTAGAACAAAATGGTCGAGTCGCATATCTTTTAGGTTAATATGCCACTGCATGCCAAGCATTAAAAGTGAAATGCGAATGGTACTAGGAATTTATATACATCCAGATGTCTTTTTAGTGAACTCCACGCTCACAGTAAGCAATGCTGCAAATAGGATAAATGAAAGAAAGGTAATAAATAATATGAAAAAAAAGAATGGAATGGAAAAAGTGGAATAAAATCGGATAAATTCGATTGATTAGGGAATTATTTACAGGTCAAATTATTTTAATGTTGAGAAATTTTAAAAAGAAATGGAAAATAGGCCAAGGAAAATTTGGTTGACAATGGCTTCAGATCAGTCATCTTCGGGTCGACCACTCAAATCACTCATTTTTCAATTTTTTTCCGAACTTAATTTTCAACGTCTCTAGTAATATTATACATATTTATATCTTACAGCATGGAAGATCGCCTACTAGAGTGCTCCCTCTCTAGTACCAATTTACATTCGCTCGTGCACAGCAATATTCTCTGCGAGTTCTCTCGGAGCTTTGCTTTCAAATTAATAATAAAACTTATTGTGTTTGATTTGCTATTTTTATTTCTAAAAATATTTTTAAAAAAAATTTTTTAAAAATTTTATTTTATCGAAAATATATTTATTATTCTAAAGTTCACCGTAGTAGCAATTTTTGATGCAAAATTTTATAAATTTTTGATTCTTTTGTAAATAAATTTAAAATTTTAAAAATTTTAAATCAATCGTTCACATTTGAATCCGATTTTTCATTCGTATAGATTATTTTGTAAAATATTTCGGATGAAATTAAAAAATTTTTTTAAAAAATAAATTTCCATTTTTTTTTGAAAGATTGTTTAAAATAATTTTTTGCGTTGGGCGTATTGCAGTTCCTAAGTTGTTGACAAAAATTGGCTGGGCGGTCGTCGTTTTCATCCCTTTTGCACATTTGCTTTCATTTTTTGAAGACTAAAGCTTAAATATGACCATGTTATGGACAGTTTTCACTATCGTTTTCTTCGTAACGACCGCAAATTCTTATTACTTGCCAGATGCAGCTGCAATCGCAAGTTTAACATCTGCGTAAGTTCTTCTTATTTTTTTCGGTTATTTTTATTACAGTACACTTCTATGCTATGTGGTTCCAAGCTTTTAGCGATGCAATTTGCTTATTTACTCTCATTTGCCATAAAATACCAATTGGCAATACTTTTACGTACATTAAGCATTGCTTTTGCTTTTTTGCTATTTTTGCTTCTCCTTAGAAATCTATACTTATAATCTTTTGAAGAAAAAATTTGATGATCACTCGCGATTTGAGCGGACTCGATTTGACATACCGCTTTCCCTTCTCCTGAAATTATTCTGTAGGAGAACTAATTTATCTTTTAAGTGCAAGCAATAGGTGTTTTTCTTTGATAGGCAAGAAAGATAGAAATTTTAAAAATTTCATTGTGCAGCCTTTATTCAGCAATAATTTGCTAATTTACTTAGATTTATTTAAAATAAAACGAATTTTTAAAATTAATTGAATTCGATTTTTATATAATAAACATATTTCAAGAAAAATTTCGAATATTTCAAAAAGTTTATCAAAAATTACTTCTTAAGAAAGAGATTTCGAATGCTGCTGAGTTGATTTTATATTTCATTTCATTATTTTCAATCATTTTTTATGCGAATTTTTTTTAAAAAAATTAACATTTATTATCGCAGCAATTATTTTTTCCTTTAGCTTTTATTTTTTTCTCCATCTTTTTTTTCCAACTTTATTATCACTTTTCATATATTAAATGTTAATAGATTATTGAAAATCGACGAAATTAATTTTTTATTTTTATAATTTTAAAATCGTCATAACAGCACTAATGGCTGCTAAATCGAATCGAATGGAAATCAGAAAATGATTCGACAAAAGTAGAATGTCGTTTCAACAAATATTTTAAGTAATAATTCGGGGAAAACTTAAATTTGCTCCATTTTCAGCGCATAAAATGTAATTAATTAGTCAGAATTCCAGCCGTAAGAGATTTAAATAAGCGTCAGTGATAAATACTGCAAATAACGATAGATTAATTGATTTTGATTAATGAAAGTTTAAAAAGCAAAAATCAAAAAATAGATAGCAAATTTTTAATTTGGATAAACGAGCTTTGGATGTATAGCGTACAGAAGATGAATGGCGAGAATGAAAAGTGGAGAGGAAAAAGAGGCAAAAAAGAAATTCGGAGTAATTCATTTCCTTAGGGCATTGTGATAGAATACTGGAAAATGTTGTTAAATCAGTATGATCAACGCTTCATCAAATAACTGATTTGACTCAATTCCATTATTCAATCAAAAAGCATTTTCCTTCAATCATTTTCTATTTGTTCAACTTTAAACCAAAATTTAATTTTTTAGCCACAAAATTCTTTTTTTCGTTCGCGATTTCAATCTTTTCCTAAGAATTTTAATAATTTCACCGTAGAAATTTATGAAAATTTTTTTCCCAATTAATTTAATAGTCGCGAAAGTTTTTAAAATTTTCTTCTAAAGGAATATTTTTAAACGCATAATTTTCATTAACTGGATCTTAAAGGATAATCGAGAAAATAAATTTAGGATAAACGATGATTCTCAGACCTACCAGTGGAAAAGGTCGATGGATTTACTTCCGCGACAATTCAAACGTCTTCGTCCATGCTTCTATAGTCCAATTCAATGCTTAATGAAAAGAAATGAGATAAAAGAAATAAAAGACGGTTCAGAAATTTGATATTTTTGTCTCCAACTTCCTTAATTCATCGCTTTTGTCTTTTAGTGATAAAACCAATCTTATAATAAATAACATATTTGACTGCTGTTCTGTCACAAATATCGAATTATCGCGAAAATTTTCTCGCAAGCAGATAAGAAATATTTTTATAAAGAAAGCTTTTCGCTGATTCGAGTTCGAATTCCTTCGGCTCGGCTGCATCGTTTCGTAATTTCTTTAAAGTCGAAATCTTTGGAAATCTTTTAGTTTTTAATGATTTCGAACAAAAAAAAGAAATTGACGCAAATTTTTCAATAATATTTTTAAAAAAAGCATCTTATTCCCTTTAATTCGCTCATGAATTTTGCTTCTTACAACCGTTTAAAATCTGTTTATGACAAATCACTAAGAAAGAAGAAATAATCAAATATGTTAATTTCACCAAATGAGTTGGATGCTTTCGACCGACCTTTGACCCTCATGCCTATGCTGCAAAATGTCCTTAATTAATAAAAAATATGTAAAAATTTATTCATACTAATTTAGTATGAACATAAGTCGCTTGCTGAGACTCAAGAAACGTTCAGAGTAGAGTCTTACGGATCTTGAATACGTTACCTAGCTTGCTGGCTTTTGTCTAACGATTCGAGCTTTTCCACGGCAGTTGTAAAGAATTCTAGCAAGCATTAGACTGTGCAACTGCAATAATCGGGCAGAATAAGCAAAACGAAATGTACGCGGTACTGATGAAATATTTATTTTGACAAATTTATTGAGAACTTTCATATATTTTGGCCAACCATAATAATTACTATCCATTTAAAGCGCTATTTGCCATCCGAATTTTTTGTGCATTTATTATCTTAATATTTCCAAAGTTGAAGTTAAAAAAAAGCTTGCATTTATCTAGCTGCACTACGCATGGCCCTAATACTCGGTTGCGCAACTCGGCCATTGAGAGTGGAAGATATCAAGAAATTTTTGGTCATTTTTGTGTGCACTTGAAGTATAGCACCATGCGTGATTGCATCTGCTCAACTGTATCGGTGCACACCACAGAGATCCGGTTAGCCAGTGAGTATTGACACATACCAAAAGTTTTATTTAAAATTTGGACTCTTGAATTTGGCGATTCTAAATATATTGATAGTGATCTATCTATCTATGAGCTTGAATGGTCAAAAAAGCAGACTCGCACTACTTTCAAACATACCATCGAACCAAGAGGCTCTAAAACTTGCAACTTTCCCATCTTTGCAGCCAGTGCAGCCAGCACACCAATCGAACTATTAAAAGCAAAAAAAATATTAAATCTTAAAACAAATATTCTTATTACGAAATGGGAAATTACAACGCAAACTGAGCTTCAAAAAAGAAAAAGAACTTTTAAATTCCCCGTTTTTATAGCGACTTATGTCTTTCTCTTTTTCCGAGATGCCATCTTTTATTTAGATAGCTCCACTAATTACCAGAGCGTCCCTTTCTCAGATTCACTTGGTAAATAGAAGAGACTGATCCCCGTCCCACTCGGAACATATAACGACAGTCCTCCTTAATTATACATCCATTTTACCCATTACAATCCATTCGATTTATTGCTGGATTTGTTTAAAAAATTTACATTTCCTTTCCCCCACTTCATTTTTTATTTTTTTTTCATTAATTTAAAATTTTTTAAAATTCTTATTTCTTCTGGATTTTGATTAATCTTCTTGTTTTCCCAATTTATTTACCAAAAAATTTCTACTATTCCCATTAAAAAGAAAAGAACTCCATTCTTAATGAACAGTTCCATGATAAAAATTTTTTAAAAAATTTTTGCCTTTTTAATACTATGCATTGCAGTATTATGCAATATTGAATATGGCTGGGGACAAATAACAAATATCTTATATCTCCATTATCCTTTTCAAGGCTGAAACAAAGGACTCCAAAAGCAATTCGAAACTGTTTTAAAATATTATGGAAGACCAAAAATAAACCATTCTCGCTAATATTACTAACCAAGAAATTAAGAATTTTCGGATTAACAAAAAATAATATATTTATAAAAAAAATTATACATCAAAATGCAAAATAGGAGATTATCGGATCACAAATTAAAAATGCACTTAATTAAAAATTTACCTTTATTGTTTTTTAATTAATTAAATCCCGTAAATCAATAGTTGAGATGAAATATTGTATCATATTTTCCAGAATTCATTAATTCCATTGATTATTTGCCATTAGAAGGTGTTTCATATCTAACAGTTTATTAAATTATTAGAATAGAAACTTTTGCAAACAAAAAATAATATTTAAAATCATAAGCTGAGATAAAAAATTTTAAAATGGGCAAAATAATTTAATAGAAGATAAGAACAAAGTAACAAATTAGCAGTTTTTAGCAAAGAAAGTAATCGAAGGAAAGTTATATCAACAAGCTTAACTTTATAAGTGATTTTCTTTATTTTATATGGATATACAAAATAAATAACAAAATAAAAAATAAAGAAAGAAACATGGCATGTGACAACAAGACAGTACAACAAAAATTCTGCAGTGAACATTTTAACATTTACCTAGCAACAAAAAATTTAACAATTAAAGACTATATAAATAAATTTCCTACCATAAAAAAATTCATAAATAAAAACTATTAATTGCTTTACTAAAAAGAATGCAATAGTAAAGATGTAACTTCCACTATATATATGCAGCATAAAAAAAATAAAGAATAACGACAAATAAAAAATTATAAAAAATTGAGGAAAGAATAAAGCAGCATTCATTTTAGAAAAACAAAATGGTCTCTGGCTAAAATGGTTAAAGCCAACAGCAAGCAATCCACCAATTTTGATATAAAAATCAAGAGCAAAAGAAATCCATTTAAATTCCTCTAAAATGCACCCGATTGATTCCAAAAAAATTTCATATCTTCTTCCTTAAGGAAAATCCTTATTATAAAACATAGATATAATTTTATATAGAATATATGCCGAATTCTAAAACTAGAAAAAATACCCACAAATATCTAGACATCGCTAATTGCAAATATATATCTAATCTCATGAGAAATAATAATGCTTCTTACTAATTTCAAAATAATTTCGGCTTTTCATTTTTCCTTTTCATAATTTCTCCTTGAAAATAGATTTGAAATTTATTCCTAGCTTGGACCAATTTCATCGCAATATTCTTTCTTTTTTTTCTGAAAGCAATGCATTAAAAATGTGAAAAATGTGAAATAGCAAAATAAAAGTAAAAAATAAAAACGATGGTATATCCAATAGTATAATCTTAATGAGCAATTAGTAGGCTGCTTAATTATAAATAGTTAGGCATATTATATTACGAAGATGAAGTCAATAAAAAGGATGATCAAGAAAGAACTGCAAAAAACTAAAATTCTTACTAAGCAAACCACTTCAATAAGAATGAAATAAAAAAATACGGGACAAAAATTATTATAAAACGAAATGACGAATTAAATAAAAATGGAAGAATGAAAAAAAAGAAACAATAGTGGCAAAAATCTATTGAAAAAGCTTCCTTTGAAGCGGATTGGAGAAGAATAGAAGAAAGCGGGAATAATAAAGAGCTCATGTTTAAAAAAAAAAAACTATTCTAAAAGAAAACAGAAAATAATCTACTGATAAAAAGTACAAAAAAGCACTTAATTTTTAAGATAACTCAAACCAAAGATAAATTATAAATTGCTCATTAAAATAAATATAAAATACATACTTTGATTTCATTTAATCTTTCCTAACTGTTCTTCTTTTTAAGCCATTATTCATAACATTACCATTGAATTGCAAAACTTTTGTCTCTTGTTCCCCACGAATATTTGAATCATTTTCAGTTCCTTTAAATGCCTTTGATTTCACATATGAATAACGATTACCCTAGAAACGACAAAAATTAAATAAATATTTGGTAAGGATGAAGAAAAACTTTAAAGTAGGGTGAAGGAAATATTAATAATAAAATGCTTTAATATTTGATTGACTGGTCATTTTTACAAAATTTCTTGCCCTGGAAAATAATACAATTAACTTTTAAATATTTTAAACTTCTCAACTTTTAACACCTTCAAAAGCCTTTCTATATTCCACTAAGATCAGATTTTAGAATACAGTATTATTTGTGTAAATTCTTTTGCAAAAAAAAAGAAAAAAATTGAAATCTTACTTTTTTAAGGTAAGTATGATAAAAGAAATTAATAAAGAGAAGAAAATAAGAAAAATAGATTGTGAATGAGAAATAAAGATTGTTCCATGTCTGCTGACAATGCTGACCAGATAATTTGATTCGAAAAACTGCTAAACCTGAAATATTTCTTTGTAACATGATAAATAAAAGATAACAAAAAAAGAAAACTAAACTTAAAAAAGCTTAAGAGAATACAGAATTCAACCTCCATAAAGTTTAAAAATTTTATAGAACAAAAAAGAGAAATAAAAAAATAAAAAAGAGAAATTTATAAAAGAGAAATATTGCAACGTGAACATTCGATTTGAATAGTATTCTCAAATGTTGAAAGAAACCCGTATAATTTTAAATCAAAATAAATGAACTAATTCTTTTTTAAATTTTATCCATACACTGTTAATTTAATTTATTCAAATTAAAAATAAAAAAGGCATAAATGATAATTCTTATCCATTAGAAAATTCTAAGAACGACAAAGAAATGAAAACTCAAGTAAAAAAACGTCGAAAAAATAATAGGTTCGACTGAACTGAAAACAAACCGATGACTACTCCCCCAACCATTTGAAGGATCTGTAAAACTGTGATCATCATCGCTGACCATTTAGGCAGATTAAAACCTTTTGCACGCATTGCATAATATGTATACATAAAAGCATGAACAGTATAATTCATCCAAATAAACCATCGCCCTGATGCTGTATGGTCCTTAAGAATTAAAATTTGGTCATTGTCACGAAAAGATCTTCGCTTAACTTGGGAACTAATTTGAATTTTAATAAAATAAAAAAATGGAACCTTATAAGCATGCCATGTATACACAAGGACAGTAACATGGTGATACCAATGTAGAAATAATAAAGGTCGTTTTCGAAGCACAATAAATGCGGTGTCACCGAATTCAACGAGCTGAAACGTCGATAAATGATAATTTTCGACTTTAAGATCAATTGTTTTTAATAAGTATACTATTTGATCTAAACCGGTCCTTACTTTCAAAACGAAATTCACTATTTATTCATCAGTATTATTTCCACCTACACTTTTGCAAATAGAAGAACCTATAATATGGAATTTTTCAAGGAATCGTTGAAGTTCATTTAAAAAATTTATTTTATTTATTAAATTAAAATGCATGTTTACTTCACAAGAACTTATGATAATGATCAAATGAAATGAAATTTTAGAAATTCATAGTTTATGCCAAATCTTTTATAATTTGTCTAATAAAAAGTGATTCCAAAAATGATTGAATGAACCAAATGACCTTTGACATTGCGAACGTTTCAGTCCAAAAACCTGTGACTCCTTGAGCAAATGATGCACAACATATTGAATGGCTCCATGAATTTGCTGTAATGCTCCACCACATCTCGGGTGACATTCTAATTACTCCAATTAACGAGAATATTGCCAGAATTAAGTTCCACAAAAAAAGTGGTTGGTCTAAGATGAAAGCTTTTCTCGATTCCATTAACTGCAGTTATCAGATAAAAGATCATATGAAAGAAAAATGAAAAAAACAATTTATATAACCTAATATAGATACAAATAAAGTCGCAAATAATCAATCAACCATGATTTTAAAAAAATTATTCGCATTAAAAAAATTTCGCCCATCATTGTGCGATTAGTTGTTAAAATTTCTCACTCACGTTTCGTCGTAATAACAATAAGTATCCAACGAAGGAAATTAAAAAAACACATTTAGGCGAATTGTGCAAACCTTTTGTCCAGCATATATGCAAATTACATAAAGAATCGAATAATAAATTGAATAATTCCAATTATTTTGCATCCATTTTGTTGAAGAAACTGAATCAAAATTACGCTCGAATGGCATAAGATATGTATAATTTTCAACGCCAAGACGTGGCCAATATTCCATTTGCGCCATTTTTTGAATCTAAAATCAATTATTTTTATTATACAACAAGAAAAAATGATAATGAAATGAAAATCATTAGAAATTTGAAAAATGAAATAAGCGAGAAATGAAGAGAACTCGTTGAAACAAAAGAAAATATAATAGAAAACGCTAAACAAAGTAATGCGAAAATATTTCATCTTTCATCGTTAAGAACTACAAAAAAACTAAAAAATCGATGAAAATAATAAATTTAAATAATAATGAAAAAATGAATGACATTAAAGATGAAAATCCAAAGTGCACTAAGTCAGTTTTGTTTTGAATGATTGTGAAAAAAAAACTGTAAAATAATCCCATAGAATTTGCACTAACGAGAAAGAAACTATTTTTATTTATTTTGCAATAGTTTTATATTTTAAGAAATAAAGAAATATGAAAAAAAAATCGTTTCCAATCCTTAATAAATGATCCGTTGGTGGCAAAATAAATATCACCAAGAATAAACGCTTAGATTCGAATCCAGTCGCATCTTGTTGGGAGGCAATGTCGTCTAATGGAGAAAACAGAAAGAGAGTGGTATAGATCAGTAAGCCTGTTGCTCAATCCGGAGCGTCGATGTTCAAGATTCCACTCCAGATTCCACTCTGTTCTATAAAAATCCTGCTGATGCTGGCGACTCACCTATACACTTCCATTGCAAGGGATTCTCTGGCATATTGTCCAATTCAACAGGACAGTGGAGCGACTTTAACCAGCAATGGTGAGCGCTTTTGAAAAAAATATTTAACCGACTTGAATAATTCGATGAAAAAGAATTTTAAACAATTACTACAATTAAAAAATAGATTATTTTACAAGAAATAGCTAAAAAAAATAAAAAATAAATTAAGAAATTGAATTTAATGAAATGGTCGTTTTAAACATTGTTTAGAAAATGAAAAAAATATACATGAAAGACGAATAGACAAAATATGTATTCCAAAATGTGATGCACAACATAACCTTGACCAAAATTTATTGGTTAAATCTTTTAATCTTCATCTATTTATAGCAAACAGTTTGGAAGTCCAAAATAAAATAGAAAACTAGTCCATAACAGCAGTTAGTAGCACGCGTAAATAGAACAGAAATACAATAAAGTAAATATTCTATGAAATAAGGCACATTCAATTCTTAAATATAATAAATAGGAGGCAAAGCGGGCAGTGATACATTGCTTTCGCTAAGATCGATAAATATGAGTTCGATTCCAAACTGACATAGCAACCATTGGATTCAATCAAACCAGAAATGGTCCGTGGCTGAAAAAATTGTCATATATAATTCTTTTTTATATAAATCGACCACTGAAATTGGTTTTTCGTGACTAAAGTTGCTTTTATAAATCAATATTTTAATTTCACCTATGTATTTCACTTTAACTGCCGAATAACTTTCCCCTTCACTGTATAATTGACAATACTGAATTTTTGCTGAAATATTTAAATCATAATAATCTATCCACAATCATCAAATGAGCAGAAATCGAACTTATAATGAACGACCGATCCAACACAACACTCGCCATTACTCGCTCCACCGGCTTGTCGTGCTAGGGCCCCTCTGCGACTGAAGCACTGGCGAATCGTCAGCACCACCCATACATTCAGCGGATAATCCTCGAGAAGAGCAATACGAAGAGCTCTCCTTTGTCCCACATTCCATCGCCTTTATTATTTTTTTATTCGTAGTTAAACCTGCTTTTAATAGCATTTTCACATTAAATTCAACATTCTTTGAAGGAAAAGGAAAATTCGAATATGAAAAAACTGCAATTTTCAAAAATCAAAGAAAAATTATCAAAACGTTAAGCAATGAGAAAAAAAGCGAAACTCCTTAGAACGGAAGTTTAAGAGAACAAACTGATATGATAAATAGAGAAATTAAAAATTAAAAAACCTTAACCAAGTATTTGAAAAAAACGAAACGGCCACAAAAATTAAATTGCACATCCGCGACTGTTTTCTAGCATATCTGTCTTTAAAAAAGAAACAACGCCACGGCCAAATGTATTGCAATCGCGGCCGTTTGTGTTCGTTAGTGTTTTAAATGTTTTGTTGATAATTTCGTTGAGAAAAATAAACAAAAAACTTTCCCACAGTTTTAACCATTAGTGAAAATGAAGATCAATTTTGAACACTATATAGCTATAAATTACGCATCGACAAAATAAAATACTCGGTTTTCCGAGAAATGAACGAAGTGTCAATCTGCGAAAAAACCTCGGTCTGTCGTGTTGAAACCCCTTCCTTTGTTGTCGTCCAAAACCTGTGGTTCGTGGAGAATATTCCAGGCCATGTCAGTCAGTACGTAGTCAGTAGGTTGTTGCTGTCATTTCGGACCACTGCTGCTGGAGTTCTTCTTCATTCCAGACAGGAGTAAATCTGCCTTTCAAAAGCCCGGGTGGCGCTAAACTCACCAGTACTCACTCAGTGACTGCTCGAGAAAATTTGCCCATTCCAAAAAGCCGGCGGAGCGAGCCTAATCAGAAATGTTTTAATTTTCACACCATCATTTGGTCCATCATCCATTCTCATTATGTTCCACCAATCTGATGGATCTTTTCACTAACATTTAAACTTCCGAGTTTTTTCGGAGAAATTTTTATCGATTGAATTTTACAGTCAAAATTGATGAAAAAAAATTTCCCTAAAGTAGAGAAATGTTTGTGTAAAAATTTTTGACCAAAATTGAATCGATTCGATTTTGTCGTCATTTGTTGGTTACAATGAAGTCAATTGAAGTAAATTTTTTTCTTTTTGTAAATTTTATTAAAAATGAAAAATCGCAAAAATTTATTTCGATTATTTAAGTGATAAAATTAATTTGGAAGAAAATATTTGGTAATATTTGCGATTATTAGTAGAAACGGTCGTTTATTCTAATATCGAGTTCGTTATCTGTTAAATGATAAAATTTCTGAAATCAGCGAGGGAAGTTCCAATTTTAAAGCCAAATTTTTGAGCTTTGCCTCCTTCTATTCAGAATATTTTACTCGATAAGCACAGTGAATTAGGCCACAGCGAATAAGTAAGAAGGAAAACGAACGACAAAAACAAGCAGTACAAAGGATGAAGTGAAAGGAATTTAATAAATAGCAAAATGAAAGATTCAAAGATTTTTAAACCAATACCTAATGCATTTTATATAAATCTAATAAAGGAAAAAGCAAATTCGCTATTCCAGTTATTGGCGAATTTTGAAAAAAAAATTTTGAGGACACATAGGGCAATTTAAGTAATTTCAGTCCATTATTTCTCGCTTAATTATTTTTCAAATCTTTAAATTTGTTAATTCAAAATTTTAATACATCCAAAAATTGCAAACATATATTGCTAAACATTGCTTAAATCGCCCAATCTTAAAGGAATTATAATATTTCTAAATCAAACTTACATTTATGAAAATCTTTCTTTAGGTTTTCAATTATCTTAGTGGGCTTATGAGAAAATATATTTTAATATTCCTTTGTATCCTTTTTTCTTCCGAGAGAAGAAGTTCCGAGGGAGTTCTATTACCGCAACAGTGGATTTAGAATGATTTCTTTTACAATTACATTACTGTAAAAACTGAAATCAAAATTTTTACCAACATTATTCCAAGATGTGAGTTATACGTTTGACGAGCAAGGTGCGTTATCAAACAGTTGAAATTTATCTAACGAAAGAATGAAAATGCTTAATTTATCTCTCTTGAAAGCATTCAATCGTTCTATCAATATTATCTTGTTACCCTGTTTTTATGCTTTTAAATAATATCATGGATGATATTATTTAATTTATTTTTAAAACAATTAAGGATGGTGCACAAGGTGACGTACAAAGTGTTTTTGGAGTCCTTCAATTAATTTACTTCATTCACGGTATTTAAGGGAATAACAGGTTACATTATACCCAAGAATAGGGCAAACGAACGCTTTATATATTTTGATAAGAAAGCTTTGATTTCTGTTTTTAAACGAAAAATAAAATTTAGTATTCTTGAGGACTTTTTTACTATAATTCTTCAGTGAAGGTCGAAATCAGATTTTCATCCACGAATATGCCAAGATCTGAGATATTCAAGATTCATGTATGCACCATTAATAAAGAGATTAGGGAAATTGGATCCTTTCGAATTTATACGTAATTTTGAATGAAATTTACTTGTCATATAAGCAGTCGGAAATTCTATTGTTAACTAGTAGAGAAGACAATTTATCCGATCTATCATAAGAATAACAAATTTTACAGTCATCAACACAGAATTTAGTACAACTTAGGTGATATCATTTATATATATGACAAGAAAAGTAATGGATCGATACTACTTTGAACGATGCCTTTGACTGCAACCAAGTTTCCGCATGTATTTAGAGCATTCGCCGTTCTATCCTTCTATCCTTGCGTTTTACTACTAAACCATCGAAATTTAGTTCACGATTATCAGTAGAGTTATCCAACCACGTTTTCTTAATACAAAATAGGAGCTGTATCAAGTCACATCAAGTACATCAAGTTTATTTTGTGTTTTAATCTTCTAGCATTGAGGGCATACAAAGACAAATAATTTCCTATGTTAATAATCTTACTTGCCCAAATATCCTAAGCTACTGTAGTCTGACCAGAAAAAGGAAATGAAGACGAAAAATTATCCAACCCATTCCAACCCATTGATGAGATTGACATAATTCCACTATTTGAAGATTTTTGATCGCATACTTCTCCAGATTAAAACTCTAGTTACGAGTATAGGATTCTTTTCGCAATTGCTTGCCTAGACTTAATATCATATTAATTCTTTTTGGTTATATTTTTTCACTGAAAGGTTTCATTTGGCATGACGCAGTGCTAATTGTGTTGCGCAAAGTAGATATGGCTATATATTTATCCTTTATTTTGAATTTGCGCTGTTTTTATTTCCCTTAGTTACGAATTCCTTAATGCCATCAACACAGATTCCAGCAGCAATTTTCTTTGCCAATAGCCTATCGGCAGGGACAGCCTTTT